TTAGCAAGTCTTAAAAAATAAGCAAGGGGAGGCTCAGCATGTATGGGGGGGGCAGGAGGTATACGGAAAACCTCTGCACCTTCTGCTCAATTTTGCTGTGAACTTGAAACTGCTCTAAAAAATAAAGTCTATTAAAAAAAAGCACCACCCCTAGCCTTGTCCTTCAATATTGAAAAGCTGTAAAAGTATATTGTAAATATTTGAGCTCCATGTTGGAATAAAAATGAGGTATGCTAAATAGCATAAACACTTGTCCCACCATGCCACCTTAAACCTGATGTAATGTCAGGCTGAATCAAAACAGATCTTGCTCTCCCTTCATAGTAAGTTAGAATGGACTAGGTATTCAGTGATGAATTAACGACTGCCAATATTCCAAGTAGGGTTAAGTGCACAAAGAATGGCCAGGGGTCCAAATTTCACCAATCTTTGATATACTCAGAGAGATGTATATAATTTTACCACCCATCTAATTCAGATAAGGGAATTTTTACATACAGCAACTTACTGGAAATAAGCAATAAAAATACGATTCCTTTTTCAAAATATGAAATACACATTTGTCAGCTACTGAGATAATAATAAACTTCTCAAATATCTTTTCAATAATATTTTCAAATACTTCTCAATATGAAAAGCTTTGCTCATTAATGTAACTGTTGCTTGAGATAACTATAATTGGCAAATAATATCATTAAGTATCTATCTATACCTAGTGGGTAATATAAAACACATTTATCAGCTAAGATATCTGCTCTCTATATGCAGAAATTAAACTATGGTGTCACAATGATCTGGGAAATGTCTTTTGAAATTATCTTCCAATAACCCCACAATAACCGCATACTAAAACGTGACTCAGCACACCCAGAAGGTACTTGCTATATAAATCGTTCCAAAATTTGGACACAATATAGGCAGGCACTCAACAAGTATGAGACTGGTAATCCTGCCTTAAGTCTACTTCCTTATGCTGTCCAAAATGAAAGTTACCATTTGTCCATAGATGAAAACAGGCTTGGTGACGCTGCATATGGACAAAGTTCCAGGATTTCCAAAACCTACCACTAAGTGAATCATTTATTAAACAGATATTATATTCAGCGTTCTTCAGGGAAAAAAGTCGGTCTTTGGTTATGCATCTGACAATTACTGGGTAGAACTTGTTCTGAGGCCACCTACTAAAAATGCCTGGGAAACGGATTGGAAATTACACTCATAAGCCACGTCCCAAAGGAAAGGTTTGGGCATTTGCATTATACGTGTGTACATTAAAAACGCCTTTGGCTTCTGGCTTCTGGCTTCTGGCGAGTCAACCCCCGCTTCACTAAAACACGTCTCTTTTTAATCGTCTGAAAAAAAAAATCAAACGATTTAAACACTGCCAATAGCGTCCACGCTCGGAAAGAGGGGTAGAAAGCGGCCAGCCTAACTCCAAGGGAAAGGGGCATCCGCCTGTCCCGGCGGCCAGGGCCCAACCCCGGTAACAGACACATCCTCTTTCTCGGTTGCCCAGCGCCACCAGACCAGGGAGGGTCCGGGTCAGACAGCCGGCCGTAGGACGAGGAGTCCAGACGCAGGGGACGGGCCCGCGCGACCATTCCGGCCGGCTTCGCACGCCCCGGACACCCGGGAGGCGGTGTCAGCCCAACCAGAGTCGGGGAGGGCTCGGCCTGGGGTCCCGCTGTGCTCCTCCGATTGCCCGCCCCGCCCCCGCCCCCGCCCTGACTCAGCATCCCAGTTTCCCACTGGGGGTGGGAGCGCTCCGTGAGAGCCGTGCCCGGCTCGGCAGCCCGTGCCCCACGCGCCTTCGGCCTCTCCGCCCCCGCCCGCCCCGCTTACCTCGCCCGGTCTCCGCCGCGCCACCGCCAGCGGGCTCCCGCGGCCTCCTTGTGCCTCAGGCCACTTCCGGCTTCGCGAGCACGGGCCGGGGGTCACGTGACCGACGGCCGGCGTGCGGGTGCGGATGCGCGTGCGCACTTCCGGCGCACCGATCTGGGCCTCGGCCTCAGTTGCCAACGCTCCTCCCTCTCCCGGCTCTCCGACGCCTCTCTGGCGAGGGGCCGAGAGGCTGTGGGGCGTTTGGACCTCGTCCACACCCTCTGCCTGTCCCCTCTTACTCTGAGGGTGAAGCCGGAGAGCCCTGCGCAGTGAGCGCAAGGATTCAGATTCCAACTGCGAATCCGCCCCGTCCCCGACAGCCAAAGGCGGAGTGAGGTGATAGTGGGACAGACGGTGGACGGGTAATTACAAACATGCAAATAATCACGGGTGTGCAGAATGCTGGACACATGAGGGGACATCGCTGGAGGATCATACTCTGCAGGGATAGATTCGTATGTATCTTAAAGACCACATTGGCTGCAGGGGAGCCAGATTATCGGCTGCGAGTAATTCGGACGTGAGATTCTTAATGTAAATAAGCTCATTTAATTCCCTCTTTTTAGACGGTATTTTGGAAAATGGCAATACTGGAGAATCTAGGGACTAAAATCGGGTCCCCTGCAGTATTCGTGCCGCTAGGATCTCAAGCAGCTATTCCCGAGTGATCCTTGTTGCCCACTGACAGAACTGCAGCCTTTCTCAGCGTAACGAGAGGCAGAGAGGCCGTAGAGACCTCTGCAGATAAGGGCTAAATTTCTGAGTGAGGGAGGCGGAAGGAGGGAGTTCTTCCCGGATGAGAACTATAGGAGCCGGCAGTGAAATAGGAAGCTATGGCAGAGTGGTTAAGAGCAGAGGCTTTTGAATGGAATAGACCTAGGGTTGCAGTCCCAGCTCTCCCTGCCAAATACTGACTTTAAGTCATTTTTAAAAAAACCTTTGTAAGCCTGTTTAATCACATATCATATATACAGTGGAGATAAGACCACTGTAATGCTTGTTACAAAGGAATTTATTAAACCTTTAAACAATGTTTAAGTGATGGAATCATTCTACTGTAACAGCAATCTATTCACTGCTTACATTCCCACCAATTTTAGTTGTCCCCTATCTAATGCCAAGAAGAGAACCTGTCCAAGTTCCTTATAACTCACATCTCAAAGGTGAATGGGAGAAAATGTGATTAGCTGAAGGCCTTGATTCACATGTTTACCACATGAGTGAGGAACACTGAAATACATTTTCTTAAAGATCAAGCCGTTTGTGAACCAATTAATATTAGTATTTAAGATTTAAATAAACTGTTAGGCACAGAACTATACCAGGCCTCATAAAACTCTTGTAGTTCCATAGTTAAGTCATACAAATCGCTCAGTCTTACTGCCTCAATGAGGCTGTTAACAGATGAGATTCACCCTTGAGACAATTATTTGGGTGTTTGCTTTTGGAGACTAAGAACAATACAGAAAAGGTAATTCATGGTGGAACAGTTTCCTAATTGCTATGGTACTCCCTAAGTAAAGTGCGCTAGGCAACTTCAGGGAAGGAAGGTGGGAATTATTACACATGATTAGATAACATGAAGTTTTAATTTCTGTTACAGACTCTTAATTCCCACGTTTTGATTTCTCTTAGCTCTGAAAACTTGTTAATCTCCTGAAGGGCTTTAAAGAACCAGGGGAAAAGGAGGTGTTGCCTTTACATATATGGAATAAACAGTACAATAACAATAGCTATTATCAAGCCTTCATTTGCAGATGCTGTAGTAAGCTCTTTTCATGTTTAACTTACTGAATTCTTAGTTATGAGGTAGTTATCATTATTTCCCCCACTTTACAGATGGGGAAACGGGGGCAGGGAGAAGTTATTTAACCTGCTCAAGGTTCTGAAACCAATTAACTGGCAGCACTGCTATTTGAACCTACTTAATCTGGATCCTGAGCCTGTCTAAGCTCTTAACTACTATGCTATGCAATTCAGTATACTTTGGACAATTAGTTCAAAGATCACTGCAATAGATGCAATGATCTCTCCCACTGTAAAAGAAACAATTAGCTCTCACTCATCTATTTTTAAAACCATTTTTATTTAAGTACAGCCATCCCTCAGTATCCACAGGGAACTGGTTCCAGGACCTCCACAGATACCAAAATCCTTGGATGCTCGTTTCTTATATAAAATAGCATAGTATTTGCATGTAATCCACGCACATCCTCCCATATACTTTAAATTATCTCTAGAATACTTACAATACCTAACACAACGTAAATGCTATGTAAATGGTTCCCAAGTGCAACAAATTCAAGTTTTGCTTTTTGGAGCTTTCTGGAAGTTTTTTTTCCCCAAGTATTTTTGATCTAAGGTTGGTTGAAACTATGGATGTGGAACCTGCACCTACAGAGGGCTGACTGTATAATATACATTCCACTGATCTATTTTTATAATTAACTGTCAACTTAGTTTAGTACCTTTATTCTATGATGTAAGGAAAATATTTATAATCTCTTCTGGAATTAACACCAGGAAAAGATTTATGTGCAAAATTTTGAATACAATTTTAGGGAATTTAGAAGACCACTGAAGCCCATCCATGAAACCTCTAGGGACCACATGGGCCAAAGGTTAAAAAAAAACCCTCAACCACCCTAAAACCTTACTTGGGCTTTTAAAATTTAAACTTAAATGATGGCTACAGTAAGTGTGCTGCTCAGTTTTGTCCACCGTTTCTTAATTTTCCAATACTACTACTGATATTATTTGTCTTCTTGGTTTCCTGCATAGTCATGAATAAAAATGGGGGAAGGCAGGGGAACTAAACGGGCAGCTACTACTTACAAGCATCATAAACACATAGGTATATTGTGCCCTAAGTAAATCTAGTAAGATGGAAAATATTAGATTTTTAATTCTATCAACATACTGACACAGGCTTTTTCTAGTTCATTTAAAAAAAGGATTCTGAATTATTTAATAGAACTAAGTCACATGTAATCTTTTAGGAGCATAATTAAATAAATCATCCATACAGTTATATGTGCAATCCTTTAAATGGGAAATCAGGGAGAGATGAGAAAATAAGACTCCAGTATTTATAATAATTCCAAAGAAGACTCAGTAGATTTCACTACGTAAAATTTATTTCCTTTTTTTTTTTTATAAAAAATGTATAACACCAGCACCTACTCTTCAATCAGTTAATTTATGAAACCATTCTCTTTTGTAGAATACACATTGGCATTGAAACGGTTTAAAGAAATGTAATGGCTATCTACAAAAAATTAGTTTTGATTTGTTGTATTTCCCCCATATTTGATGAGTCTGCACACATAAAATTAAAATTTTCAAACATTTTATATTCAGCAATTAAAAAAAAAGTACACTGTTTTCCTGCTATGGTCTTTATAAAGGACTTAAATTTTCAAGTTAAAAAAAAAAGGTACTAGGATAACTGCTGTATCTTATAACAGCATTTTTATATAGAGCGATTTGAATTGGCATGCAAGCAACTTCTCTAGTTGTCACATACCAGTAATTTAGGGAAAATTACACCCATTTTACAGAAAAATCCCAATGCATATACTGCAATAAGCTCAAAGCAGTGTTAAAAAGACCAGTGTGAATGGCACACAACAATTGTTTCTTTATAAATTATTAACTGGAATTCCTGATCATGAAGTAGGCACAGGGAGATCCAGTCCTTAGGGCTTTGCTCTCTGGAAAAACACCTGTAAATAAAGTATTAGTACAATTAGTACTGATGTCAGAAGATTATCACCTTTACCTGAAGAATGGCTCCAGGTTACTGGGTGCTAGTCACTCTTTTGTAAAATACAATAGATTATGTAAAACATTTAATATACTCCATAAATCCACACATAATGCAAGTCAGGAACTTTCTCTTCTGGACAACTTGATAAGGTCTAGAGATAACTTATGTTGCCATTTACTAGTGAAAATATGGTATCACCTCCAATGCTGTGAGATTCAAGGAGTCAGAGGAAAAGACGCTCTTGACACCTTTTTGCTGATTGGCACTACTGTCAAAGTTAATGCTAGGAAATTAAATTTTGAGGAAGAAACAAACAAGTCAAAGCTAAAGACAGCAGTTGCTATCTCTTAACTATTTATATTTGATTATGAAAAAATACTTCCAATTCAACACTTGAGACTATGAACGAGTAGGCTAGAGGCTGTGCTAGGCACTGGCTCAGTATTACTACCTTCCATAGTTGGGTACATGTTAAGTGAGTATTCGAAAGAATAAATAGTAGGCAGTAAGCTCATTATGGATAAGGACCACATTCGTCATTATATCGCTAACACCTAGTAGGTCAGACATTCACTTAACAATTATTAACTGTCTATTGACTAAGTGGAGAGAAAAGAATCATCAATATATGAGCAAAAAATAGCCCTACAAAGAGGCCATGCTTGAGATAAGCCTAGAAGAACGGGTAGAATTCATAAAGGCGAAGCATGCTAATAAGGCAGAATTCTTGAAGAACAGCAAGAATAGTAAAGACTGTTCCTGCAAGAGAACCGGAAAGGTAGTCTGAGATCAGAATCTGAAAAAAAAAACACCTAAATGCCAAACTAAGAAATATGTACTTTTTAGTCAATAAGTTATGAAGATTATGAGGAAGAGGAAGGAATTTCAGAGGACTGTTCAATGTTTTCAAACAGATCAGCTTGGATAGAACAATGGAAGGGAAATCAGAGTGAGATAAGAAGCCTACACCAGAGTGGCAGCAGTAGAGACAGAAAGGAAGTTAGCAAGGAGGAAACAATCAGCAAGATCTAAGGATCAATCAGATAGGAACAGAGTAGGCACAAAAGAAGGAACTTCATTTTTTCCAACTAGAAGAATAACGCTATCACTGAAGAGAAGCTGGGCTGGGGAGGAAGACTTTATAAATGCTGTTTGGATGAATATGTTTGGGGCACAAGCCTGCTACAATGTACGCACATCTGCTATAACAGATACCTCTAACAGAGAGTTACAATGTTTTTAGTCCTTTAATCCAGTGTGATTGATCTCTTACTTAACAGAGGTTACCTCCACAGGCACTTTGCTTTTATGGGGAAATGGGAGAGGGGAGGGTTCTCAATGACAGACAGTAACTCTATCTTCTCACAAACTCTTTTGTCAGTTTAAGCTGACAAACTACTACTAGGGGAAAAACTTGCAAGGGAAGATGTTAGCACCAAAGTCAAAGGATAGCACATTTATCAAAGGATAGCAAAGCCCCTTGACTTGAATGCCACGGGCAAAAGAACGAGGGAACCATTAAGTTACCTGCCCCTAAGAAATTTAACACAGTGCTTTACCCTCAAATTTGCTGAATGAAGATAATAAATAAAAATAAAGAATAGTTCCTCATCCTGTCACACTGTAACTTTATTTCCAGACCATGAGCTCCTTGAGGGCAAGGAAAGTCACTCATACTGGTATTTGCAGCAGTTAGCATAGTATGTGTTACATAAAAAGCAGTCATGGAGTACTGAATGACTGACTACCCAGGTGAAAGCAAGATACCTGCTTCATGGATTTAACTGTAAAAATGAATACCAAATACATATTTGGTACTTCTTGCCAACTTGGAGGTTGATTGGTTGGTTTGTTTTAATTTGGTGATTTTATGAATGTAAAAATAGCCTTAATGGCCAAATCTGAGGATTCTACTTTTTGTCCATTTTGCAATTCAAAAGTTTCAAGATAGGGTATAACCAAGTAATTCATACTTGTTTCTTTATTTTTAGCTCCTTCCTTTCAACTCAATATGGGCAGCTGTTCATAAACATTACTTGTTCTCCCAGTCCTCTAGTTCCTGTTTAATTACATCACAAAACTTAAAGGAAACTTACATTTTCATACCAACATGCTCAGGCACATACACATTCAGTATGCTTATCTAACTTTCTATAATCTTTTGTAGGAGCTCAGTTGAAAGGGGCTTCACAGAAAACTCTGAAGTGTAACATCTATTAACCATGGATTCTTAGAAGCAGGTTTTAGAGCAAAGAGATCCCCAAATATGTAACTGTTGATCAAACTACAGTATGACACAGTATCCTGTAATATGTATTCTCTCTTGGCTCTGAAACATCACCTAATTGTATGAAGATATATAAGTTTTTCCAAATACCTACCTTTAAGTAGTTTTTAAAAACTTTAGCATCAGGCTGCTGAAGCGCTTGGCAAAACTCCTGGGGGGGCCAAGAGGGGAGAAGAGAGAAAAGAATTAGTCTATTTGTATTAAATTCATCATAATTCAAAACCACAGTATTCTTTTTAAATTACGATTAAAAAAATACAATCGACCATCTTTACCATTTTTATGTGTATAGTACCAGCAGTGTTAACTATAGGCAACTGTCATGCAATAGATCTCTAGAATTTTTTCATCTTGCAAAACTGAAACTCTATACCCATTGAACAACTCCCCCCTTTCCCCTTTTTCCAGCCCTCATCCCCTGGCCACCACCATTCTGCTTTCTGTTTCTATGAGTGTGACCACTTTAGATACTTCATAGTAAGTGGAATCATGCAGCATCTCTTTTTGTGACTGGCTTATTTCATTTAGCATAACATCCTCAAGGTTCATCCATGTTGTAGCATATGACAGAATTTCCTTTTTATTTTTTTAAGACCCAATTGTATTCCATTGTATGTATATACCACATTTTACTCATCCATTCACCCATCAATGAGCATTTAGGCTGCTTCAAATCTCTAGGATTCATATTATAATTTATCAATTAATTAACCTGAACAGTTCCTCACCAAAAAGGTTATATGACATTTTCAAATGTAATACCTGTCAAACAGGCTGCTTTCACTTTTGAGAACATGGCCTCCTGGGCAAGATTGACTCTTGCCTCAGAAGGGTGGGTGGGACAAAAACCACATGGCTATGGCTGTTTTCATCTAGTAAGAGGGTAACTGAGCGGAGCCAGACTGAGAGAAAAAGAGAAAATTCTCTTCAATAGAGTTGTGCAGGGACTTCCCTGGTGGTCCAGTGGCCAAGACTCCCTCCTCCCAATGCAGGGGGCCTGGGTTCGATCCCTGGTCAGGGAACTAGATTCCACATGCTGCAACTAAGAGTTTGCATGCTGCAACCAAAGATCCCACAGGTGGCAGCTAAAAGATCCTGCATGCCACAACTAAGACCTGGCACAGCCAAAAAAAAAAAAAAGGATTGTGCAAAAAGTGCTGTCAGAAGGCATATGAAAAAGGGAAAACTGGGAACCATTATCTTTTATAAGCAAATTATTAGATATAAATATAATACGCAGAAAGACAAATATCATATATTGCTTATATGTGGAGTCTAAAAAGAGGGTACAAATGAACATATTTACAAAACAGAAACACTCCAAAAACAAACTTATGGTTACCAAAGGGGAAATGTGTATGTGTGTGGGAGGGATAAATTGGGAGATTGGGACTGACATATACACACTACTATATATAAAATAGATAACTCATAAGAACCTACTGTATAGCACAGGGAACTCTACTCAATACTTTATAATAGCCTATATGGGAAAAGAATCTAAAAAAGAGTGGATATATGTATAACTGATTCACTTTGCTGTACATCTGAAACTAACACAACACTGCAGTCAACTAAACTCCAATAAAAAGAAAAAAAGAAAAAATAATTTTGCTTCATTTAGCAATCTGGGAAACTACTGATATTATTCAAAATTGAATGATATATTTCTATTTTTGAGGTGCACTAAGATCATATGAGTAATTAATAATGTATTGTTTTCATAAAATACTAATTTACTTGTGTAACAAATGATAACTGAGAAAATTAATATCAAGTTAAAGATATGTCATAAAATAAGAGATCATAAATTCACTAAAAATGAGTTTTATGATTACTCTTATGTGAGATCTGTTTCTACCTCATTAGAATTATGTGCTATTGGACAACAGGTCTGGATAACTATGCATCCAGAAAACAATCGAATGCCATCACAAAAATCACTCTGAAAGAGTGCAAAATGTAAGATAGCTTTCCAGGCACTTACCTCAAAATACGGTTTCTGATTCACAAATTAAGCACTGGTGAGCTTGGCCTGTGTAAAATGAACTACCTGGCACAAACTTTCAGAGCAGAGGTTCGTGTGCCACAGCCCCCTCTGGCAGTCTGGGGGAGCCTGCTGGACTTCTTGCAGAATGTTTTAAAAAACATACTTGTGACACACGGGGTTACAAAGGAAGCTAATTCAATGAATTATGGTTAGCAAATGTATTTGTGACATGTGGTAGAAGAATAAGACATTGATTTAGATAACAAGGTCTAGTGGCATATTCTAATAACTCATAATTTCAAAAAGATGAATATAAATAATATTTCGAGATCTGTGGAACAACTAATGCGATATAAAAATATCTGTGATTTCTACGGGTGACAACATCACAGGCAATGCAAATACTACTGTGATTTGTCCCCTACACAATGGTAGGAAATTAAATTTCTGTTAAAGGTAGTGAAAATAAAAAGTTTTTTTCTCATTCAATTTCATAGGCCCCCTGACATTTGGACTTTTGCTATCCTATACATAGTAAATCAAGGAGAATGTAGTTTGGCTTCCTTGAATCAAAATTTAGATTGAATTACATAGCTCTATTTCTTTAATTAAGAGGAAAATCCACTAGGACAGATCTTACCTGAATTATCTCTGGAGCTACTTGCAAGGAAGGCAGGTATTCTTGTTGAAGATACTGAACACATTCTGGGCCCTGAAAATTAAATTGGAACAACATATGTATACTTTAAACACAAAATGGTATTGTGATTCAGAACACAGACTCGGGAGCCAGATTGCTTTGGTTTGAATCCTGGCTCTGGCAAATTTCTAGTAACTTGCGCAAGTTATTTAACCTCTCTGAGCCTCAGTTTCCCCACCTGAAAAATGGAGTTATTGTGAGGCTTGGATGAGTTAAGAAACGTAAAGCTGTTAGAATAGCACTTAGCACTGAGGACACGTTCACATTACTTAGTGCTAGTTATGCAGTGCTAAAGATTAAACAAATACTCTTCTAAATGCAGGAAGTCACAATGCCAAAGCCTGGTTCCATGCACTGAAAGGAGAAAGCAAAGAGAGGGGCTTCTGGTTCAATCTACCATTGGGTGGACTATAGGGTGTCTATGGGTGTGCAAGGGGAAGCCTGTGGGTAGTGCCAGGATAATGAACATCTTTAGAAACTAAAATACAAGCAAGAAAGAACAAAATGCTATGTCGGGAGATAACAGCAATAAAAGTACACCCCCTCCCCCTTCCAGTTCAATAAACTAGGAAACAGGAATTTAGTAGTCAGGTAAGGAAACCAATACCCAGAAAGATAGGGTGATTTGGCTAATTTGCTGTTAATTAAGTCTGTACTAAGTAAAAAGCAGGTCACCTGACTTCTAAAACCATTGCTCTTCATTGCCAACTGCTGGTACTGCTAGATGCTAAAACTCTAATAGTTTTCTGGGTTTTTAAGGGTAAACTTGGTAGAGGGAAGGGAGAATTCCACAAACTAACCCCTAAGCCCTACACCTTCTCAACAGCTACAAAGGAAATTAAGATACAATTTGAAAACGGTTTTCCTATAGCAATTTGTTTCTGAGACGGTGGCCTCGACCAAATGCAATAAATCCAATACTTAAAAAAAAAAAAAAAAAGGAAAAACAAAAAACCCAGCTAATTTCACTTTCAAACTTGAATCTGACTTAAAGGCTTTAATACGTTAATGACTCCAATCTAGTCCAACTGAAAGTAACAGTTATCAAAATGAAATCAATCCAACTCTCCTCAATGTACTTCCCGCTGCATTAATATCTCACCTTTTTCTTTAGTCTACTCTCCCTATACTTACTGCCCATTCACTGCTCATCATTGCATATAACCCCCCTGTTACCACTTAAAAATGGAGTATACTTTTTTTTTTTTAATGAGGAAAAGTAAACTTAGACCTCAAGAGGAAGTCAGTCAGGTAGATAAATGAGAAAACAGAATAAGGAAGCAAAACGTTTTCTAATATGTTCCATTTGATTCAATTCTCTGTGTGTCTAAATAACAGCTCTAAGGACAAGATAAATACTTCTGCATTGTAAACATCATTCTTACTGTTTGTTATTCCTCATCCTCCTTGACTCTCTAGCATCCAAAATGTCAACTAGTCTCCTCTTTCATGACTCTCTTCCCTTAACTTTCATTCCTTTGGTTCTACTTCTAGCTTTCTCTTGACTCTTGCTTTAGCCAAAGTTCTTTCTATCCTGGTCTTAGAAAGGCTCATTCATTCCTACTACTTCATCTTAGCAAACTACAACCTGAGGACTCCAAAATCAGTATTTAGTTCTAACTGCTCTAGACCCGTATATCAAAGTGCCCTGTGAACATTTTTTCCACTTAGCTCTCCTAAATTCAACCCCACTGACTACTGACTTACCAACTTTTCACATGTAACACACACCTAGTTCCGTTTTGGTTTTTAGCTATTCTACCTCCATGCTTTAGCTAAACGGGATAACACTATTTTCTACCAAGTCTACCATGTGACATCTGATCTGTCTTCATACACCCACCGCATAACTTTGCCCAGAGTGCCAGCTCCTCCTGGTCAGCCCGATGAATGTACATTTGTTTCAAGGTCTATCAGAAAAACAGAAAAATACCCCCTCTTTTCAATGGCTGTCTTAGACTGCCCTCATAGGCAAAGCTGCTCATTCATCCTTAGTCCCACCACGTTACATTTAATACAAATGTATTAGTTTAATATACCTCTCTTAAAGTACTTACTTAACCCATCCAATTGAGTTTTTAGGTACTGGTCTCCCCTGATTCTAAGCTCCACAAATACTGGGGCACTTTTTATTCATCTTTATACAGGTCTCCTGCAGCCCCAAAACACATACCCCTCACCCTAGCACATAGAGAAAATGTCTGATTGAAAACTCTTCAAATCTCTTTTGGAATCAAAAATTCAAGTTCAAACGAAGAGGGGGCTATACGGAGACTGAACAAGACGTCATGCTTTTATTTTAGGCAACTGAGGGAAGACTCATTAGATGACTGCAACTATGTGGGAATGCTAGTCCTGTGTTGGCATCCTAGCTTTGTGAAGTTGGAGACAGAAATTTTTGTTTAAAAAAAAAAAAAAAAAGCTACCTGATTTTCAAATATTGGCAGTCAACTCATTATTATTTAAAATACTGTATAAAGCAAACAACACACCAGATAGATTCAGCCCAGAATCGCTTATAATTTATATAAATGGTTAAACTGACAAGGACAGTACAACATTCTGAAGTAGTAAAGTGTTCTAACCAATCTGTAATACTAAGAAGTTGGACAAATCTGTGAAGAACCACGAGGTAGTGAAATCTAGATTGTGAAATTCTGGTTAAAATTTTTCTCACTCTTTGTCAAACCAAACAAACATACATTTTAACCTTCCTGTTACCCCAAACATGAAAGACAATAAAGGATACTACTATTTTCATTCGACCCGCCCCTCACATCCAAAAAAGTCAGAACTGAAGTTAACTTTTATAAAAGATATAGCTTTCAAGAACAAGACATACTCAAAACTACAAAAAATAAGGGACTTCCCTGGTGGCGCAGTGTTTAAGAATCCGGCTGCCAATGCAGGGGACACGGGTTTGAGACCGGGTCTAGGAAGATCCCACATGCTGCAGAACAACAAAGCCCGTGCGCCACAACTACTGAAGCCCATGCGCCTAGAGCCTGTGCTCCACAACAAGAGAAGCCACCACAATGAGAAGCCCACCAAAATAAATAAATAAATTAATTAATTAAGAAAAAAAACTATAACAATAAGCATGTGAGCTGAAAACGAAGGGGCAGGGGGTACAAAGCTTACCCGTTTGAGATGAATTGTTTTCAGCGTCACTGCACACTCAGATAAAGCCTGTGAGAAACAAGTTTAAGAATTTTAATATAGTCAATTCTTGGTTACTGTTACAACTTTTCTTTTTATTTCCCTGGCCACTGCTCATTAACATTTACCTCCAAATAAGGGATGGAATGATTTCCTGGGTGGCTCAGTGGTTAAGTATCCACCTGCCAATACAGGGGACATGGGTTCAATCCCTGGTCCAGGAAGATCCCACATGCCATGGAGCAACTAAGCCTGTGTGCCACAACTACTGAGCCTGCACTCTAGAGCCCACAAGCTGCAACTACAGAGCCAGTGTGCCACAACTACTGAAGCTTGCATGCCTAGAGCCCGTGCTTTGCAATGAGAAGCCACCACAATAAGAAGCCCACGCACTGCAACAAAGAGTAGCCCCCGCTCGCCTCAACTAGAGAAAGCCTGTGTGCAGCAACAAAGACCCAATGCAGCCAAAAATAAATTAAAAAAATAAAATAAATAAATTTACAAAAAAAAAAAGTGATGGAGAAAGGAAAGGTAACAGGCAGGCAGATGGAACAAATGGGTTAGATAGAAAATTTTAAAAATAGAAAAATACAAAAATGCTGTCTTAATGCAGTACATGATAATTAAGAAATCTAGCTTTTACTAGGTCCTGGGTAAGTGAGTAAAGGGCAACTGCTTGACATTAAGCATTCTGAAGATGAGATTTGGGGAAACTATCAAATGAGGAAGAGAAAGTTACTCTTAATAATTAGGAAAAAAACCATTAAGCCAAGTTTTAGAATGAAAGTAGAGGCAGGAAACTAATAACTCAATCAAGCTTTAAAAAATGTTTGTATCATGTACCCTTTCATGGTCCTAGAAAAAGAGTCTTGGCTGTTAAAGTTGGAGGAGTTGGATTTTATACATTCAACTTTAACATCAAGATTTAGTTAAGAATCAAAAGGTCCAAAAGGTATCAATTTTTAAAAAATGAATTCTAATTTGAAATTTTTTTTGTTTTAAAAAGGCACTGAAATCTAATATAACCAACCTGGCATTAAAAAAGAAATTGTGAGTTAGAACACATGAGATGTACACAAAGTAAACAGAGACTCCTAGGTGCTTACCAATACTGTTTGTGCATCTGCCAGGTCAAAGGTTTGTTTTAAAGGTGCTAAGAAGCATGCGGGGACAATGTGCTTATAAACAAAATCAGCAAATCCCACTGGTCCGTCTTTACCTCCTGTCAAGAGAATTCAGATTTTCATCTTGTATAAAAAGAAAGTCATTTAATTTATCACTGGTGAAAATCAACTCCCAGCTCCTGTCTATGTTAGGGCCAGGATCCCATTTCATCTCTCTTGTCTTAGGAAACAGGTTGGGGAATGAAGTTTTTTTTTTTTCTAAATCATCTTACCCCAGAGTTCTACCAACTTGGAAAGGATGATAAAACACGTTTTCTGGGCAATTGGATCTGGATATTCGACTGCTCCTTGAATAACAGTTACCAACACTCGTTCTACATTCTCTGCACCTGAAAAGAAAAAAAAAACTGAGTTCAATCTCATAAAGAACTAGAAAGGCAACCTGAAGCTCTCACTTCATATATAGTAACATAACAAAAACAATTACAGAGTTGCTAAGATCCTCAGTTTTTATTAACGTGGCTCCTAAATTTTAAGCATAAAACATTGAAAAATTACTATTCCCTTATTATCTTGCCCTCTGGATTTCCATATAGCAAAATATTCTATGTTGATCTATATAGTCTCATTTCTTTTAAATTTCAAAACAGCAAAGTGGCCAGTAAGATTTAATTGTCAGGTCAATTCTGGCAAGTAGCTATCACACTATTTATACTATGAAGGAACCAATTAATACAGCTTTAGGCACGCATGGATCATTCTCTAGGATAGACCACATACTAGAACACAAAACAAGCCTCAACAAATTTAAGAGGATAGAAATTATTTCAAGCATCTTTTCTGACCACAATGGCATGAGACTAGAAATCAACCACAGAAGAAAAACAAAAAAAACCCCAACTACATGCAGACTAAACAACATGCTACTAAAAAAAAAGGAGGAAATCAAAAAATACCAAAATGCTAATGAAAACACAACCATATGAAAACAGCAAATGAATGCAGCAAAAGCAGTCATAGGAGGGAAGTTTATAGAGATTCAGGCCTTCCTCAAAAAACAACTTAACCTACCAGCTAAAAGAATTAGAAAAAGAACACGCAAAATCTGAAGTCAATGGAAGGAAATAAAGATCAGAGAGGAACTAAACAGAGATTTAAAAAAAAAACAGAAAAAGTCAATAAAACCAAGAGCTGGGGGACTTCCCTGGTGGCACAGTGGTTAAGAAACTGCCTGCCAATGCAGGGGACATGGGTTCAATCCCTAGTCTAGGAAGATCCCACATACTGCAGAGCAACTAAGCCTGCGCACCACAACTACTGAGCCTGTGCTCTAGAGCCTGTGAGCCACAACTACTGAGCCTGTGGGCCACAACTACTGAAGCCTGTGTGCCCTAGAGCCTGTGCGCTGCAACTACTGAGCCCATGCACTCTAGGGCACACATGCTGCAACTACTGAAGCCCGTGTGCCTAGAGCCCGTGCTCCACAAGAGAAGCCACTGCAATGAGAAGCTCGTGTACTACAACGAAGAGTAGCCCCCACTCACCACAACTAGAGAAAGCCTGTGCGCAGCAACGAAGCAGCGAAAAAAAAAAAAAAGCCCTTTATTTAAATAAATGAACAAACAAGTAAGTAAATCATAGCAATATTTTCTTAGATCAGTCTCCCAAGGCAAAAGAAATAAAAGCAAAAATAAACCAATGGGACCTAGTCAAACTTATAAGCTTTTGCACTACAAAGGAAACCATAAATGAAATGAAGAGACAACCTATGGACTGGAAGAAAATATTTGCAAGTGATGAGACCGACAAGGGCTTAATTTCCAAAATATACAAATAGCTCATACTACTCAATAACAACAAAAAAGCCAACCCTGTCAAAAAACGGGCAGAAAACCTAAATAGACATTTCTCCAAAGACAAACAGACGGCCAACATGCACATTGAAAGATGCTCAACATTGCTAATTATTAGAGAAATGCAAATCAAAACTATGATGAGGTATCACCTCACACTGGTCAGAATGGCCCTCATCAAAAAGTATCCAAATAATAAATGCTGGAGAGGGTGTAGAGAAAAGGAAACCCTCCTACACTGTTGGTGGCAATGTAGATTGGTGCACCCGCTATGGAGGACAGTTCCTTAAAAAACTGGCGGTTCCTTAAAAAAACTAAAAGTGGAGTTACCATATGATCCAGCAATCCCACTCCTGGGTATATACCCGGAAAACATGAAAACTCTAATTATAAAAGATACATGCACACCAATGTTCACAGCAGCACTATTTACAACAGCCGAAACATGGAAGCAACCTAAATGTCCATCAGCAAATGAATGGATAAAGAAGACGTGGGGTATATATACAATGGAATATTACTCAGCTATAAAAAAGAATGAAATATTTCAATTTGCAGCAACATGGATGGACCTAGAAATTATCATACTAAGTGAAGTAAGTCAGACAGAGAAAGACAAATATTGTATGATATCATTTATACGTGGAATCTAAAACATGACACAAGTGAACTTATTTATAAAACAGAAACAGACTCACAGACATAGAAAACAAACTTATGGTTACAAAGGGGAAGGTAGGGAGGGATAAATTAGGAGTATGAGATTAACACATACACACTACTATATATAAAACAGATAAACAACAAGGATTTACTTATAACACAGGGAACTGTATTCAATATGCTGTAATAACCTATAACAGAAAAGAATCTGAAAAAGGATATGTATATACATGTATAACTGAATCACTTCACTGTATGCCTGAAACTAACACAAAATTGTAAATCAACTTGAAAAAAAAAAAAAGGAATACTGCTTTAGGAAAATGGGAACTGAATACAAGTTAATTTTAAGGTCCTCTATGTGAAAATGATTCCCACCCTGATGGTAATAAAATGTCATCTTTGGGGCCAACATATAACTACTTCAAAAGTTTAGTGTTTACTCCAGCTAGCTCTTGCTCATATAGATATACAACTGTGACAAGTACTTAGACAATTTAGGCACTGCATGCATCCCCACCTTGATTTGCTATGACTTCGCTCATTCCACTGCCTGTGACTGTTTGCAGGAAAGCAAAGTAACTCCTGCGCAACATCTGCTTCTCTAAAGCAGCAGACTGGTCGTTTTCTTCTGCTGGTCGGAGCAAAACTTCAAAAATTGCATGAAGAAGAGGCATAAACATTTGTTGTAAAAATGGGGATACCTGTATCTGAAGAGATGAAACAACTATTACTATTTCAGAAATAAGAAAATTAGTAATACGAAACTTAGAAAAAACATGTTTTACATAAAGCCTTTTTCTAGAGATTCTAGTTAGGACACATATTTACATAATTCGGTTAGCAAATATCAATGTTAAAACAAAAATCTATAGAGGATAACAGTATTGAAAGCCTCAAGATCGTTAAGTTCAACCCTTTTCCTACAGTTCAAGATTCAGGTTCAAATAACATGGAGTCAGACATATTTCACAATCAAATATTGCCATGGATTATTTTCAAATTTAAATTCTCAATAAATGAATTCTACTGCTAAATTATAAATGAATTTATATGATTGACTCTCAGGCTTTACATGCCCTTGAGCAAATTGCTTGACTTCTGTGTCTCAGTCTCTTCATCCTTAAAACAACAATACTTAACTTCTAGGGTTGTTACAAAGATCAAATGAATGTATAAGAAAATGCTCTGAACAGATTCTGAACACAGAAAACACTATGTAAGTGTTAGTAATTTTTATTAGCCAACTTATGCTTAGGTTACATTTCCTTGTACATAAAGCTGACACTGAATTATTTTTAAACTACTTGGGCACCCAAATTACAGGGCTTAAAATTTATTCTTTAGGCATTTATTATTCAATGCTGTTTTATTTGCTTTTCTAAAATACCAGACTAATAGCTTTCTTCTGCTGCATAGAACAGAAAAGGTCTGTTCTTATTAAAACATCTTTTAAGCATTTCCTATGTGTCAGGCAGTGTTGCAGACATTGGGGATGATAAAAATACCTATGATCCGTGCCCCCAAGAAACTCATAAAAAAAAAAAAAAAAAGCAAGGGTCAAATGCTAAAATATACCTAAAGATGAATACATCTAATCTTGAAGTCAGGAGATCTTAAAGTGAGGAAATTCTCTGAGCTCTGAAGGTTTGTGGTACCTTAAATTTGGCTGTAATCTGGTTGATAAGAGGAATGAATTCCTGGAGGTCTTTTGCTTCACAATCTTTGAGCATGTGTTCTGAAGCAGATGGAATGAACGGAAGGACTTCTTCCTCCAGGCAAATAATCATGCGATGAAGGAACGTGCGAACCCCACTTCTAAGAATATCCTTTTGTAAGGGACAACTGAGGGCTGGCAAGAACGTCTGTAAACAGTCCAGATAAACTTCGGAACAGCCACACTGTTTCACAGTCTGCTTGTTGCTGAAAGCTTTGCTGGTTCGACTATATAAACAATTATCAGGTAACTAGTTTTAAGTTTATTCTTCAAATGTTTTATGGAGTAGTCAAAAACAACACACAACAAATTACAAAACTGACAAAACAAAGAAGCCATTTCTTTATTTTCCATGTCACAGCTACGTCTATCTTTAGCTGATATGGTTATTTGTAAACTATTGCTTCCAGTTACCATTCCAGAAAGAGCTCAAGTTAAAATTAAATGAATGAATGAAATGTAATTAATACAATCTCTCAAATGTGAGTCCACCTAAATGTTTTACTAAAATCCTGCTGACAACTTATGCAGAAAAGAGAAAAAAAATCTATTTATTATGAATAGGCTATACTACACAATCTGTAAACTATCAATTTATATTTAAAACAATCTTAGAATCAAGTTATTTATATAACATCTTTAACATAAGCTTTTGCACTAAAGTCTTCTGCAGAGCAATTTCTCTGTGTAGCTTCTAATTAGCAATCACTATAACTTTCATGCTGTTATTATTTGCCAATAAACAGAGAGAAAGAAAGGGCAGCTTGGGTGGTCTTCAGGACACAATGTAACAACTAAAAAGAAGCCTCAGCACCTTCTCTTTAAGGTTCCAAAACTGATCCCCTGATGTCATTGGTATATAAACACTTAGACTAATCTCCTTAAATACGTAATCAATTTATAACAAAGAAATCAGAGGAGTTAAGGATTTAGATAACTGTCAAGTCAGAAATGCAGAATGTTACATGACCTAATTCCTTCTTCAGTTAAATCTAATTCAATGAATTTAGAAAAGAAACAATTTAGACAATTCTCTGGACAATCTAGTTTTGGAAACATAGATATGCATGCCCGATTAGAAAAATCCAAGCAAATGATTCTGTGTATGTTGAAAAAATCACTTCACAAATTTAAATGCAGTCACTCACCTGGCAAATCCAACAGCGTGGTTGAGACAGTCTGCAAGAGATGCCTGCCTTTCTTCGTCCTGCGCCAGCATCAATTTTTCTAACAGAATTTTAAACTTCTCCATGAGTGGAGTCAACAGATTCCTCATTAATGCCTGCTTCCGTTCTGCTGGGTACTCACTATTAACAATCAGCACTCCAGCTGTCTCATAGATAAATAATTGATCATCGCTGCTCAACAAAGACTGGTAACCATTCTCCTAAAATGAAATTTAGTCTTATTGAAGTTTTTCTTTGTTCAGTTCCTCTCATTTAAATGAGAATAAGTACAAGAGGGACAGGAGATTTAATCTATCACATCAACTCATTATTAAAAAGAAGACTGAGTACTTATAAAATTTTTCCCAGGATCATATAATGGAAAACAAATGGAATTAGAGGTCAAAAGATCATGGGTCTAATTCTACCCCTAACAAGTCTTCATAAATGGTCATATAATGTAACTGTTAGTTTTCTAACTTGTTTTCTTTTGTAAAATGTATTTATTATTAGGAGGCTAACAATCAGGTATACAACGTGCTTTGAATGTTAGGACAAAGGCCACACAAGTTAATACTTTCAAGAGTGTTTAAGAGTTAAATAACAATAAACACCACACAATAAACACACACATACACAACAGTTGTTACTTTAGAACATCTGAAAATAAGACTGCAAGTAAAAAAAAAAGATCTCATTCAAGCATAAGCAAACATCTATATATTGATTCATTTTTATTAATGAGTTTGTTATTTATTTTTATTTATTTATTTTTTTTGTGGTACACGGGCCTCTCACTGTTGTGGCCTCTCCCGTTGCGGAGCACAGGCTCTGGACGCGCAGGCTCAGCAGCCATGGCTCACGGGCCCAGCCACTCCGCGGCCTGTGGGATCTTCCCGGACCAGGGCATGAACCCGTGTCCCCTGCATCGGCAGGCAGACTCTCAACCACTGCGCCACCAGGGAAGCCCCCTATTTATTTTTTATATAAATTTATTTATTTAGGCTGCACTGGGTCTTAGTTGTGGCACACGGGATCTTTTAGTTGCGGCATGCAGACTTGTAGTTGCAGTTTGCGGGCTCTTAGATGCGGCATGTGGACTCTTAGTTGCAGCATGCATGCAGGATCTAGTTCCCCAACCAGGGATTGAAACTGGGCCCCCTGCAATGGGAGTGTGGAGTCTTACGTACTGGACCACCAGGGGAAGTCCCATGAAGTATTTTAATATATATGTTTCTTTAATACGTAGGCAAAGATAATTTAACCATATAATGTACTAGTAACCTTTCATGCAATGAAATTATATACCTTTGTACCCTGAATACTGGTATTTATTTTTTAAAAACCCAAAATATTATTTTATGTTTAACACTTTTCAAGTGGCAGCTCTAGTAATAATTTTCATCAAAATGAAAAAAAAATGTCAAGGTCAGTATTTTGCTTTACACAAAAACATGTATCAGTCAAAATGTGCTTACAAAGTATCTCAACTTAAATCTGTCTAGTGAAATAAACACCGAAATATACAGATCAACCAGCATTTAAATTTTACCCCAAGCTAGAAGTTTCACAGAAAAACTTCAGTCTACCAGTAGCAGTCACTGAGAATGACTAATGTGATCATAGTACTAAACAGAGAATAATTTAGAAACCGAATTTTCCTTTTCCAGAAAACACTTCACTGGCATTTAACAGTACAGACAGCAGACCATATCTCACACTGCTAAATCTATCAGTCAAATTTTGATTCCTTTCTATTTCTATTACTATGTTTTGTTTACTGTATCTCAACAGAGTTTTGGTAAACAAAACTAACCCTTGCACACCCTCCATCCACACTTTAAAAAACAAAAACAAAAACAAAACAAACAAAAAAAACACCCAAAGGCATTAACCCTAAAGGCTAAAGGGATATGTAGCCTCAGTACTGGGGAAAACTTATCACTCAGAAGGATAGATACTTACAGGTGGAGAAAGTTCTAATAAATCTTGTATTCTATTCAGAATATCCTCAATGAAAGGATTCATTTGTTTACTGAATAAAGGCAAAAAGGAAAACCACAATTACATAAATAACAGTGCTTGGCAAAGTGCGGAAATGCCAAATCCCTCTTTAAGGCAGAACTAAAAAAAAAAGTTCAGTGCTAAGGTAGTCACATGTGATCATTCAGACTAGCTATGATTTTTTTAAACTACAATTTTATAAGCCTAAGAATAAGTAGTTTTCATACCGAAAGCTGGTACTAGTAAAGAACAATACAATATAAAACAGATTAAGTTCAAAATGTATTTCCAAGGAATATCATCTTTAGAATTTCACAGAAGCCACAGAGTTATCTACAGCAGTAAAACTGTTAAGTAACTAATGTCATTAGTGATGACAGGTGTTACATACAAAAATATTCAAACAAATCACTGTTTAATGATGAACAAAGTACCTGGCTAAAGAGAAGGAAAAGAAATCGTAACATCATGATACAAAAAGGAACACCAAAATTTTACAAAAGCCTTAGGACGAAAAGACCAAATCTACCACAGGCTCTTAGAAAATAATTTACATCTTACTTAACAATCTTAAAAACAAGAATTAAACATTATAGATGAAATTTTGTACTTACTTCAGAGATTTGACAAATCTAGAAAACAGGTAAGCAGTTCTGCTCCGTACTTTTGCACTAGAGTGCCGCAGACCCCTGTGATCTAAGAAAGCCATCTAAAGAAACAGAGACACTTTTACTATTTCTGTACTTATTTAAGGCTTTATTGCTATTGTCATGACACATTTTTGTTCATACCAAATTCTACTTTTTAGCTCTAGAAGGGAAGAACTAGGTACATATAAAAAGTAAGCCTACACTACACACAAACAGGCCCCTGAGTATTTGTTTTAAATAACTGACTAGACACAAACTCCATTTTAAAGGAATGGAGGAGAGGTTAGTGTCAGTGTGTTGAAGAGTTTTGGAGAGCTTCTGGCTCTGGAAAAAGTAATAAAAGAAAGATAGAATACTATCTGCTCATTAGCTGAAACACACGGAAAATAAAAGTTGAGAGTAAAGTGTATACTTACTAGTACACATGGAATGTGTTGAGGTTCAACTGTGAAAAACTTTTCATATCTAACAACAGTTTCGAAGAACTCCAATGTCACAGATGTGTGCTGGTAGGAACTAACTCCTGATGTTACCAACTGGAGCAGGAAAAAGTTAAGAAATCTATCCTTATTTACTGCAACATCAAAATGTCCCAGTATTAACATATATTAAGCTCTAACAATTAAGGAACTCACATTAGCTTATATGAAAACAGAAAATTATGTTCAAAATAAATTATCTTTAGTATACTTACAGTTCGCATCATATCCTGCAAAGCACTAGCTTTTGAAACATCACCTGAGAAGTGAGCACCATGAGATACTGGAAGAGCTTCTGCCAACATATACAGCAATCTTATTGCCACTTCAACTTCCATAAACCTTGTAGTCTGCCAATTCCTACCAAGGTATATAATATGTCAGTGAAATCTGAATATAAACTTTCTATACAACTAGTGATGCACGGGATAAAAAGACACCAACCGAAGCCTCTTTAATTATTAAACAGTCACAGCAATTGTTAATTTTGCCAGGCAACATAATTCATATCACAAAAGTATACAAAACTAATGAAATCCATTTTATTGACATTCCAAAGAGCAGTATTTCCCCCCAAGAATCAAGATAAATCAGAGACAAGTGCATTGTTTCAGAGATACACGTAAGATCTTCATAAGTAACATAAATCAATAAGTCACGTGAATCACTTATGGTAGACCATCATCAGGGAGAAAAGGAAAGAGGTGACTTGTTAGAAACAGCGTAACAAACTTACTGCAGGGTAGAACTAAAAACTCTGCGAACAGAAGCCAGCAGTAACTCGGGTGAAACTTGAGCAAGCCTGTCCAACAATAACTTCAGTTGTTTTCTGTATTCTACAAACATGGCTTCGTCTTCACCCTATGATATTTTAAAAATTCCATTAAAAAACATAAAAGATCTTAAAACACATAAAATGGTGAGTTCTCACTAGTTTTTGTATTTACAAATTTAATACACTTTTATTTTTTCATTAATATTTATTTATGTAGGAAAATGTACTATGCTCAGTAGCCTTTCCCCTCCTGCTCACAAATAATTATTTCTGAACACAGCCCTAGACCATGAAAGCCTAGAGCCAGAAATAGCATAGGGAGGACGTTAAAAACAAAAGTCTAACAGGAAAGAGTTATTGAGGGACAATTAAGCAAAGGACAGATAATGCAAGGCTTTGGGGAAAAAACAAAAACAAGAGTCTAAGCCAGGATGGGTTCATGTAGGGCTCTGTGAGAACTCTGGCACCTTATTTATACTCCTTGTATCTCACTGTCCACTTTAAGAACTGCAATAGTATCACATGATTGAAGATATTATATGTAATGAGCCTAGCACTTCATAAGTGCATGGTGTGTTGGTGATCATCACCATTATTCTTTTACAGTTGGAAGTTTTTGAATGCCTGAAGTGGGTAACAGAACACGTTAGCACACAACTAGACAGTACACGCCATCATTGAGTTGCTAGAAAGCACCGATGACCCTTGTGATTGATGAGAAACTGACTCACTGACAACCCTGGACAAGCCTTTAACCAGAACAAGTCCAGAGACGGTTAAGTACCTCATTCCTACTCTCCCACAGACAATTATGATCTGAGGTCCATCAACTGGGCTTCAACTGATCACTCTTACTAAATATAAAGTGAAATATGATCACCAATAATACTGTCAATATTTATGAAGTTCAATGCTACAAAGTGTTTTTAAAAGGGTCATTTTAAAGAGGGACAAAATACAAAAAATTGAAGGATTATGAAAGTTTCCATTAATTTCACCTAAGTAGAGGTCAATATAAACAAGACTAGGGACTTCCCTGGTGGTGCAGTGGTTAAGAATCCACCTGCCAATGCAGGGGACACGGGTTTAAGCCCTGGTCCGGGAAGATCCCACATGCCGTGGAGCAACTAAGCCCATGCGCCACAGCTACTGAGCCTGTGCTCTAGAGCTCATGAACCACAACTACTGAGCCTGTGTGCTGCAACTACTGAAGCCTGCACGCCTAGAGCCTGTGCTCCGCAACAAGAGAAGCCACCGCAACGAGAAGCCCATGCACCGCAAAGAAGAGTAGCCCCCACTCGCCACAACTAGAGAGAAAGCCCGTGAGCTGCAATGAAGACCCAATGCAGTCAAAAAACAAAAACAAAACCCCAAGACTAATTTTTTAAGATAATCAAAACTTGGAATATTAATTTGATGTAAGTAAACAAAATTAAAACTGATTTCTCCTCAATGCAAAATTCTTACCTCATTTTCAAAGTTATATTCTTCATCATAGGTTAATTTTTTCATAACGGCCAACATGATTGCCTAAAATTAAGAACAAAATACCTTTTGTCAGTCTCCTTAATTTCATATAATTTGAAATTAAGCTACATTTCAAGGCAGACTGCAGATGTAGATTCTATTATTGGTTTAAAAGAAACAAAAAGAAGTCAATTACCTCTACATTAGCTTTTTGCTGATCAGAGAGCACTGTAAGCTGTTGAAAGAAAGCAATCATTTATTAGCTTTCCTAAAGTTATACTTGCTTACCAGAATATTTTTCTGATCAGTTAAGATCTTTTCAAACATGCACACAGCTTTTCTGGAGGGCAGTTTGACAGTACATTTCTATATATGAAATGTACCTAACCTAAGATCTATCAATTTCACTTCTACTAAGTAACTTGACATGTAGGCAAAGACATGTAGATGAATTTGATTTTAAAAGACACTTATAAATGTATTCAGCAAAGAAGCAGATTATAGAACAGCAAAGTATGATCTCACTTTGTTTTTAAACAAGGCCAAAAAAGCCTAGAAATCCATTATGAGATACACAGTGGGACTATCAATACTGATACCAATTTTAACTTTCTTCATACCTTTCCACATTGCCTAAAATTTCTTAAAATATGCATGCAGAAACATATTAGATTTATAACAGAAGCTAAACTCAGTTTGGAAAAAAAAGGCTACATGCTATCAATATAATATGGGAGATTCATACCTTCTACATTTTAAGGTCTATTACTGGAAGCAACTCTCTAGGGGGAAACTTTTAATTGTAAAAAAAAATTGTTTATAAGAAATGATGCATATGTAATTAAAATAACGAACCACGGGGACTTCCCTGGTGGTGCAGTGGTTAAGAATCCGCCTGCCAATGAAGGGGACACGGGTTTGAACCCTGGTCCGGGAAGATCCCACATGCCATGGAGCAACTAAGCCTGGGCACCACAACTACTGAGCCTGCGCTCTAGAGCCCGCTCGCCACAACTACTGACCCCACATGCTGCAACTACTGAAGCCTGCATGCCTAGAGCCTGGGCTCCACAACAAGAGAAGCCACCAGAATGAGAAGCCCACGCACTGCAACGAAGAGTAGCCCCCGCTTGCCACAACTAAAGAAAGCCCACATACAGCAACGAAGACCCAACGCAGCCAAAAATAAATAAATTAAATAATTAAATTAAAAAAAAAAAAAGAACCATATTTAACAAAATTTCTACTGTATTTAGAAATAAACAGAGGGGGCTTCCCTGGCGGTCCAGTGGTTAAGACTCTGCACTCCCAATGCAGGGGGCACGGATTCAATCCCTGGTCAGGGAACTGAGACCCTACATGCCACACAGCCAAAAAAATAAATAAATAAAAATAAACAGATTCATGGAGTTCGCTGGTGGTCTAGTGATTAGGATTTAGCGCTTTCACTGCTGGGGCCCAGGTTCAACCCCTGGTCGGGGAACTGAGATCCCGTAAGCTGTGCAAAGCAGCCAAGGTTTAAAAAAAGAAAAAGAAATAAACACAGATTCAAAATAAAAGAAACCCCTAAACCTATAACTAATTCTGAAGCTTTTTAGTCTAGTGAATTTTAGAACCTGGCCATTTCTGTTTTTTGGCTAAGAAGTTTAAAGAAAAAAAAAAGGATGAAAATACATTAATAACTAACAGTAAATGTCATTAGAGTGTAGAATTATGAGTATTTTCTTGTTTTCATTTTTCCTGTATTTTCCAATTCTCTATTGCTTTTCTATATTATCTACTGGACAAAAAGATTAAAATAAGGACTTACCTGTTTCAAAATATGAAGATAATCATAACAAAATCCAATAATGTTAGAAGAGATGTCATCATCCTCATGAACTAGGAGCTGCAACATCAGTGCCACCTTTGTTTCAATAGCTTGTAGTGCCTCTTGAGCATTCTTGATATCCCCATTCTTAATTAATTTAGTCCAGCTAACTATCAATGACTGTCCCATTCCATTTACCAGTTTAGAAAATCTGGCCAGGAAGTCAACATCTTCTTCCTACAAATGATCAATACTTCAATTTAAAACCAACCACCTAAGAGGGAAAACTCTAAACTTAGGTATGGGTCAAATACCAATCATAGGAGTCATTTTTATTTTATTTATTTATTTTTTATTTTTGGCTGCATTGGGTCTTCGTTGCCGCGCACCAGCTTTCTCTAGCGGCAGCGAGCTGGGGCTACTCTTCGTTGCGGTGCGTGGGCTTCTCATTGCAGTGCTCTAGGCATGCGGGCTTCAGCAGTTGTGGCATTGGGGCTCAGTAGTTGTGGCTCATGGGCTCTAGAGCACAGGCTCAGTAGTTGTGGCGCATGGGCTTAGCTGCTCCGCAGCATGTGGGATCTTCCCGGACCACGGCTTGAACCCATGTCCCCTGCATTAGCAGGCGGATTCTTAACCACTGTGCCACCAGGGAAGTCCCAGGAGTCATTTTTAAACTAACATTAGACACTAACAATTCTACCATTTTGACTGGGAAATCTTAAGAATTTGAATTCTTCTACTATTATTATCCATTAGTACTAACTCTTCAAAGCAACTTTTTTTAATGATTATAGTCATGTAGACATTGCCAACTTATAAAAGCTTAAAAAAAAGAGATCTGGGCTTCCCTGGTGGTGCAGTGGTTGAGAGTCCGCCTGCCGACGCCGGGGACACGGGTTCGTGCTCCGATCCAGGAGGATCACACATGCTGCGGAGCAGCTGGGCCCGTGAGCCATGGCCGCTGATCCTGCACGTCTGGAGCCTGTGCTCCGCAATGGGAGAGGCCACAACAGTGAGAGGCCCGCGAACCACAAAAAAAAAAAAAAAAAAAAAAAAAGAGATCTGTGGTTTCAAAATCTTCTCTCTAAACCACTGAATTTAGTAAATATGCTCTAATAAATTTAATGCTGCCATATTATACTATGTATAAGAATTTACAATAGCCCTTTCTGATACTATTTAATTTGAACCTCAACTGCACTACAAAGAGATAAAACTGCTATTATAATAATCTGCCTAAGGTCACATCAGCACTAACTCTAGAACTTAAAATTAGGTTATTTTCATTAATTATCCTTATGATGTTTCCTACAGAAAGAGATTTTTACCTTCACCATTTTAAATCTTTTACCAGGGACTAAATAAGACAATTATCAGCAGTGTAAGAAAACACTACTATTTGTCAGCTAGGAAAATACCAGAGGTGTTGTATTCCTGACATATCAACAATACAAAGACTTCTCAGTAATTCTTTACCAATATCACAGGTAAAATTAAAAATAAAAACCTTCAAATTCAGTTTCTAAATTACTAATTTACCACACTCAGCCCTAATTCTGCTGAGGCTAAACTTTAACAGCTCAAATGAATGTGATGAAAATATAACATTTATAATTAAGTCTAATTTAGCTCAAAATGCATTGCCATGCTTCTTAAAGTGTGGTCCATGAATCAGCAGTATCACAGTATCACCTGAGAGTTTGTTAGAAACGCACAATTGTAAGTACCATCCCAGATCTTCAAGTTTAAGTCTGGTATAATCTATTGTTCAAGGCAAATGTTACAGATAACGTTATGGCTTTCTAGATACAATGTTTCATTATTATAATGTCAAGGAAGTTTCCAGCATTTAAAAACAAAACAAAAAGAAAAGGAAAGCATATTTAAATTACTGCCTATCCTAATTTGTTCTAACATTTTCAAAACCTTATACATAAGTTTACTGACCTGGTCAATGCTGAAAAACCCAGCAGACTGTAATACTCGACACAAAGATTCTACTAGTTTCATTTTATCAACAGGATCCATTCCTTTATTTACAATTTCAAATAAACAATCACATGCTTCTTCCCGTAGAACTTCTATTGACATATGACCTAGCAGCATATTTATAAACCTGGCAATGGTGAAATAAAATTGTTACAATATTTTCAAATTCATGACTTTTACATACTGTATTTTGTAGGTTTATATTTTTAAAATATAGGTTAACTTACCTATCATTGGCTATAAGGGATAAGTCTATCCAAGAGACATAAGCCCCAACTACTTCAAGGCACTGACATGTTACTTCTGAATTAGTATACTGATAGTTTTGCAGGATTTGGTACCATGATTCCACCAAGTTTGGAATGCACTGTTCCCTCATGGTATCTTTTATGAGAGTATTCCTACGAGCCTCCTAAAAGACAAAACAAAGTACCATATACACAATTAAAGTAGATTACCTCCCAAAATAATGTTTAACATCTGAATAATAGTTGCACACAGTAATTTCCTCACCACTAAACTTCCAGACTTGTTAACACATTCGCTGCCGCTATTTCCTATTTATCTGCTCTAAAATCATAACCCGTGATTCTAATTCCTCCTTCCATTCTACTCATTTCCTCAGACACAATTTCTTATTAAACACAAACTATAAATAAACATTGCTTAGAAATCTTAACCATGTGATAAAAGTTATTTCTCAATATTATACAAATACTTAAAATTACTCAAGAGAATAGCAATTACTTAAATGTTACAAACATATTTGACATACAATGACCTCAAATTATCATACACATTTGAATTAAGCCATTTCAATTGTGTTCTTTAAGAAAAAGGAGAAAGTTATATTGGGTAATACAGAAATAGAGAAAGACTAAGGTGATGGGCTATGTGACTAACTGAGAATACAGAAGAACCCAGCACTGATTCATAAGCAATGCTTTTTCCTCACTCGGTGACTATAAAGCAGTAGTAAATATAGGCCACATTTGTCTACAGATTCATAGGAAAAAATCAGTTTGTGTATTTCTCTAGAGAAAGTTCTTGCCTGGTTAAAAAAGAAATCTGAATACTCTTAATTTCACCCTACACCTGGAAAAAAAACCCAAGTTTAAATTCCTTTGTAAAACAAAATTCAAAATGTTGAGTAAATTTATAAGTATTCTTAATCAAGTTTTATCTCCAAAAAAAATAAAAAACTCTTCTTGATCCTTTTATTATATGCCCACCACCTCCTACAATATCTACATTAAAAACTTAAAATTAATAGGAAGTTACTTGCCTCTGATGTATGCACCACATCACGATCCACCAACTCTGAATCAATAGCCATGAGAATTCGGAGGTACAGATCTACTCCCCTTGGATTTAGGTCCACTACTGAGAGAATGTCAAAAAAAAACTTGGGCCATTTAGTGAGATATTCTGTAACAAAAAGCAAGGCGAAGACTTGGGCTGCTTTATTTCGTATAAAGGTCTTCTCTGGTTGGGGATTCAGCATCTGACAAACAGGGAAATAGTTCATAAAATCAAATGTAAATGGAAAAGACTCAAACGTTGTTTTCCTATTTATCATTAATAGGCAAAACCCCACCAAACTTCACTAGGCTCTACAACAGCTGTGCAACAAATATGCTTGAGAATTACCAAAGTTCTGAGGTGACTAGCCAGATGGAGAACAATCAAATGAACAAAGGTGCTAACCGTTACACCTCTCTCACACTTTCAGAGAAAAGTTTCAAAAATTCAATGATTTTTCTTCTAGCTGCTTGCTCTTTAAGGAAAATAAACATGCTAGCTACACAACTGCTTTAATACGTTAAGATTAGCTAAAATTAATGAAAAAGAATGTAGTGAATAAAGAACTCTATTGGCTCCTTTGAAAAGGGCTCTTTGTTAAGAGGCTGTCCAGGAGAGCTCACCTTAAGCATGAACAGCAAAGCCACTCTTGTCAAATAGTTAAAAAAATATTACATTTTAAAACCAAAGTTTCCACCATGTGTCATGGACAGAATGACAGCTTCAATTATCAATATAATTTAAAGTTATTGCTAAGTTTTCATCTACCCATGAGCTTCAAAAACAGCACTTTCTAAAAGAGCTACATGATGAAATGGAGGATAAATGAGTGACATTTTTGAGGTGAAGCTGCAAACTCTTGCAAAAATAAAAATTTAAATATCTGGCAATTTGAGGCACTAAATATAATAACTACTATTTTACCTGAGCTTGAAGCCAAGATATGAGAGTCTCCCTAATCAGCTGTTGTTGAACAGTAGTTAGTTCTGAATATCTGTTCCAAATAGGGAAGAAAAATAACAATGATAATGTTTAGTGTCTGTGGTTTTAAAAAAGTAACGGCCTCTTATAAATTTGAATGAGAAAATTTGTACAGCACTTGACTGACTAAAATTCCCTAAAACAAATTGGTAATACCTCTCATTACTGCTTTAAAGACAAGGGTGGGAGAGGCAGGTGGGGTATCAATACTGATCTCTGTTTTGTGGTTCAGTTCATGTTAAAACAAAATGGCAGCCACACAATTTTTCAGGCGAAAATACACCCATGGTCTCAGGTCTGTGGTTTACAGAATAAATCAGTAGGCAAACTAAGGATCCCCAGGGCAGCAATTCACTGTTTTTACTTAAATTAGGCAGGGGTTCTAAATGCAAGTGCCCACACTGCCACTGAACTCTAACAGAGAGTCATCGTCAGAGAAACAGGCTCAGTATTGCTAGATCTTCTAATTTTTTCCAGAGAAGCTGGAAATCTACTTTTTTCCTGTGAAATGACTGGATTTTTATGTGTAACCAATGAACTCAGTATTTTTAAAACACTTTTTGGGATAAATCAAAATACATCTATGAGCTGGATATGACATATACCATCAATTTACAACCTATGTTATGGTGTCCCCAAAGAGGGAAAAACTAATTTAAAAAATGGCCTCTCGGGACTGCCCTGGTGGCGCAGCGCTTAAGAATCCGCTTGCCAATGCAGGGGTCACGGGTTCAATCTCTGGTGCAGGAAGATCCCACAAGTCACAGAGCAACTAAACCCATACACAACTACTGAAGCCCGTGCGCCTAGAGCCTGTGCTCTGCAACGAGAAGCCACCGCAATGAAAAGCCCGGGCACCACAACGAAGAGTAGCTAGCCCCTGCTCGCTGCAACTAGAGAAAGCCTGACTGCAGCAACAGAGACCCAACGTAGTCAAAAAGAAATTAATTAATTATTTTAAAAGTTAAAAAAAAAAAAAGCCCTCTCCCCACAAATCTCAGGGAGAAAAGCCTTACTTGTATTTAACTTGATGTTCTAGTACTTGAAAGCAGAAAAATTTAATGTGATCATCACTGAAAAAGAAAAAAAAGAAAAATTAGATAAGCAGAATATCAATTAGGGAAAACAAATCAAAGGTAAAATAGTAATGAATAAACTACAGTTGAAAAGTTTCTCAAACTAGACCTTTGGCTCATTGATCTCAAGTTTTACATTCACATCCATTTGTTTAAAAAGCTAAGAGAACTTTTTATGTTATACAATATTCAATGGAAATCTGGCAAATGGAATAACCAAAAAAATTTAAGCCGCACTTTAAGTACATACAGTGCTTTTGCAAACAGTAGGCACTCCCCCTAAATTCCAGAGGTTAGGATTCCCAGGACAACTCCTCCATTTTACAATAGAAAGGCAAATGGTAGGACAGCCAGAGACTGAGTCAAACCAGAAATGGTCATCAAAGTCATACTTAAAAGTTCTACTGCAGTCAAATCCAAAGCAAGCAGAGTCACCCGGACTGGCAGTCCAGTCCCCAAAATTCATACAGAAAACCAGGTTACCAATATATTGCCCTTATAAAAGGGGAGTAAAACCCAACACCCACCCATCATCCACTTCCAACTGTGTCTCTAGGGGTGACGGCAGAGCTGCAGTGAGCCAGCGACAAACTCTGACCAAGCCCCGTTAGTGAACAACCATCTGTTCATCTTAATACAGTTGGTCGAGGCCAGGCTTAGTCATGGAACAATTTTTCATATACAAAGCTAACTAGTCAATACAAGAATGGAGATGTTATCTTCATTTAGACTACATCAATTAACCAAAAAATAATAATAATTTCACACTTAAGAAAATGAAACTTAATTTTTTAAAGTTTTTTAAAAAGTTACGTTTAATTTGCATCTCTTCTAAGACCCTAGGGTTTCTAATCTTATCATGGATGGCACTGAAGCTTTAACTAATTATGTGACTTAGATCTTCCACTCAAAATATAAACCATAGGGAGCCTTTAATTAAAAGCCAGCCCTTATTTACTCTAAGACATATAGATATTCTCAAAACCAACTTTCACTAAACTGGAGCACTTCCCTTTGGCTATAAAATGTAGTGACTGATATCCACAGCATGCCGAGAACTCTAGCTAGGAGTCATCACTGACCCCTATAAACTTCTACTCCCACTAGTAGAGTTGTTTATTTACAACTAGTCAGCTGTGTTTCCCCAAGCCTCACTATGTGCGTTGTACTTCTTTTGTATGTAAGTAACTTAATTATTATATAAACTAATGAAATGAGTATGATGACAGTTTATATTTTCATAAAAATTAAGTTGAATACTTTAGAAAGAGTTCATAGGAAGTCACACTGCACGGGGAAAACCTTGGACCTATGTGATGTGAGACAGATAACTTGGAGAGACAGGAACAAATAAATAAAAAGTTTAGAAATCTGTACTCACTGTTCCTCAATCCACTACAGGGACCCAAAGTGGAAATTACAGAGGATCAATTATGGGTGTGATCAACATTGAGAATGATGAAGTGAATGTTAGTGGCATACACGCAAAGAAAAGTCCTTGGTCCAATATCAAAAGATTAGTAACTAAGTGTTTATATACTTTAAATTAAAATTTAAAATTAAGATATATACAATTTTTGATTACCTCCTTTACCAACTTTTTAGAAAACCAACTATCCCTTCCCATCATAAGAAGATAAGGAAGTTTCTACTGTATAGAAACCATATGCCACTTGGGATCTACTGCCAGGTACTCAGAATAAGGCAAAGGATATTTTAATGAGAAGTCAATTCTGGAATGGCCAAATTATTAGTTTACTATTTTTCTCATTTCTACACTGAATAGTTTTCCGAAATATAAGTCATAAAATGTTTTTATGAAAACATTTTCCAAACAGGTAAATGTAACAATCCTGTCAAGTTCACAAAAATTTAAATTCTCCTACAAATCACGCAAATTTTGTTTTAGTCACCTGTACGTCCTCTGGGCCAGAGCTTCTGCACACACCTGCCAGGCATCTGGGGAAATCTTTAACTGCTCAAAATAGGCCAGGGCCTGTAAGATTGCAAAGCAGAAAATGCATTTGGAATAGTCAATCTCAATTCTCTGCCAATACTCGATAAAGTTTTCTGGGAGTAGCAAACTAACAACAAAAAAGTGACTAAATAAAAAATAGCTAAACATTGAATTCAGGCTTCTGAGTATGTGCAACTTAGTGATCATTCCTAGGAAAAAAGGTTAAGTAAAAAACAAATTCCATCAGTTGGATACTCCAACCTGTTTCTTTACAGGAAAGGAGACAACACAAAAATGCCCTGCAGGTATCTATGAATTATTAGGAAGATCAAAGAGCAAACATGCTATTAAAGAGGTGATTATAAAAGATGAAACATACTCTGTATGTCATTTGATCTACTGTTTAACAGAAAAGGAGAGTTATTTAAAATCTTCAGCTATATCATGTAAGTTTCCTAAAAAGTGAGATTAAAGTCGGAGTTCAAGTGCTTGATATGAAGTTTGCAGAAGTACCAAATAACTGAAATGGTCAAAGTTTTAGGAAATGTGTTTCTCATCCCTGTATTCACGAATTCTGGGGCCTGTCATAAGAACAAGTATACTCTAGACTGGATGCAGCACCAAGTCCATATGCTCTCTACCACTGTTGGGAAAATGGGAGTGACTTCTGCCACTTTTCCATTAGTATGTTGCAACTGGAATCAATGACAGATGCAGGTTTCACACATGACAATGGACAAACAGTAATCTCACCAACTTGTAAAAAATATCTCAGTCAGGAAAATGACACATAATCTCTAGAAACACTGCTAAATGATTTTAAAGCAATTACATACTGATATAAACCCTGAAATTAGTTAGAAACAATATTAAGCCTTAGAGGAACCTAATTTCAATTAGCCAGTATATATTTTTTAAATGTGGTTTGTGCCCCATCCATGATGAAGACAATTTTATTGGTCTTGATCAGCAATTTTTAAAATGAAACAATACAGATATCAGACTGCACTGCACCTAGCAAGAATAACTATTATTTTGTGTAACTTGTCTTAGTCATGTGTGTATACGTCATATATTCATGTGTATATGTGTCTATGTTTACATATATATAAATACATACATACACACTCACACACACATATACTGTCAAGATATAAAATTATTTTTTCCTTTCAGTTAGAGGTTAAAAAATAATAAGCAGCAAAAAATCCACTGTAGTTAGGTAATAGTTTCCTGTGTTATGTAACTGTATGAATGAGGGAATGGGTTTTCAGACGTGGTCTCAGTGGCTGCTCCCACTGACAGAGGACCAGATAAATGAACGTGAGCAGATGAAGAAGATCACCAAATACTATCTTAAGTGTAAGTAACAGCTGTCTTTAGAAATTAAGAATATAGGAACCCAAGCAGCTGCAAAATAATCTAGTTCAGGTGTCTAACAATATCTATTCCATGAAACCTAGAGTTTCCTTTAGGAATACCCCATGGGCCAGGGCAGGGGACAATGCTGAAGTCAATCGTATACTGCATTACCACCTAATATTTCACTTACCAAACGAGGTGGGGGAGGTGTGATTCAGCTGCTAGAATTGTCACTGACATACCATTTTCTTTCCTTTTTTTTTTTTTTTTTTTTGGTACGGGGGCCTCTCTCTTTTTTGGCCTCCCCCTTTGCGGAGCACAGGCTCCGGACGCGCAGGCTCAGCGGCCATGGCTCACGGGCCCAGCCGCTCCGCGGCATGTGGGATCTTCCCGGACCAGGGCACGAACCCGTGTCCCCTGCATCGGCAGGCGAACTCTGAACCACTGCGCCACCAGGGAAGCCCCATTTTCTTTAAATAATAGCAAGTTTTAAACCAAAGACAGATATTCTATTTTTTTAAGTGATAATAACTTGAAAAATTTCAGTTTTAGCTAGTCTTTGCACTCTGAATCCATGTGATACTAGCATCAAAAAAAAAACTGGGGCAATGACGAACAAGTCAAAGCTTTTATCACCCAGTTCTCTCTCGTACCTTCTTTCTAACGCTCCACTGTCTCTAAGTGGCAACAGAGTCAGTTCAGCTACTTACTGCCCATGTAGAAAACAGAGAACTACAGAAAGACAATTGGGAACCAGGGTTGGTAGTCATTTATCTTACTACGAAACTGAATTAAGTTCCCACTACTCCTGAATTCCAATATCAGGACTATCAGAACTCAGTTTTCCTTAAGATTCCTTGTTTTTCATCCTAATTGTTATGCAGGCTGGCCTAATGGGATATCAAATTAAGCCTGCACCAGGATGCCTAACATAAGCCTGTGACTGATAGAACCCATTTTTATTGATTAAAAACCTAACTTCTATATTAAAACCACTGCCAGTGTACTAGTTTTACTCTTCTGAAAAAGAAAATCATGGCACATTTTAAAAAAAAAACCTGTCGGATGGTGGAATTTAATTATAAAACAAAGGATTTCAAAAAAGGAACGTAAAAAATAACAGAAGTTTATTTAATAACTAAACAAATAGTCAAAGATTTTAGTTATAATAACTATGTAGTACCAAGCCAGACTAAAGGTACAGGTCTGTGACGCTTCGACTATGTGACTAAGGGTTTGAAGGCAGGTAGCTTACACTCCCGTGAAAAGAAATATTTGTCCATACACAGAAGACATGGACTTTTTATGACTTTTCATGTCCTAACCAGTTTGATAGGTATCTTGTAATTAGCTATTTAAATCTCAATTCTTATTATTTACCTCCATCTGGAGGGCTGGTTACTTCTTTTAACAGCAGAGACATGCACATGATACTATGCTGGAAACCCCTGGAAATTTTTTACTACTTAAAAAAATCTCTGCTTAAAAGCAGAAAAATTGCTATTTTTTGTGAAATTGTTAAATTGCTATTTTTTGTGAAACTGTTAACCTCGTTTAGCTCATTTATAAAAAATATTCTTTGGGGCTTCCCTGGTGGCGCAGTGGTTGAGAGTCCGCCTGCCGATGCAGGGGACACGGGTTCGTGCTCCTGTCTGGGAAGATCCCGCATGCCATGGAGCAGCTGGGCCCGTGAGCCATGGCCTCTGAGCCTGCGCGTCCAGAGCCTGTGCTCCGCAGCAGGAGAGGCCACAGCAGTGGGAGGCCTGCGTACCACTAAAAAAAAAAAAAAAAAAAAAAAATTCTTTGTTATGAGAAGTAGAAAGAAAATGACTCTCCATCCACTTACCTTATACTTCAAACCACCCACGCATCTTTAATTATAGGCTTGTTCTTTAGATTCTTCTATCATTCAGCCATAGTCATGATTACAGGTGTAGGCTAAATTACGTTTAATTGTTTATACTTACCCAAATATCCCAGCACCTCATAATGGATTCTTTGTCATGTGATCATTTTACATAACCTGATGGCATATCATAACTGCTTACTTACATGTCTAAATAACAAAGGTGTTAACTATCACTAACATGAGGGTTAAGCAACTTGTTTAGACCAAACCAAGCAATGGGAAAATATAATATGTACACCGGCAACTATGGAAAGTCCCTTGAACAATCCTTTGCATTACAACTTTTAAATAATTAGAAATAGTGATGTGACATAAAGACCTGCCTTGAATTACATGAGATTTTAATACTTTTAAGCCAACTTAAGAGAAAATAAATCACAATCACTCACTGTTTCTGTATTCAGAATATAGTCAAATACCTCAAATTTGTTTCTCTATTTATTTCCACCCAAATTAGACCTTTATCAGATGTATATTTTTGATTCAAGTCCTCTAATGCAAATCTTTCCGTAACATGCTTTAAAAAATGATTAAGCCGACTTAACTTACCCTTTGCCTGAAGTCTGAATCAGCATTTGGATTTAGCCCTAAAAGAGCCTGTTCATCCATCCCTGCTGCTATACTTGGAGTTCTCTGATTACAATAGGCGTGCCCTCTGATCCCACAGAAGAATCCACAAACATCTGCACACACACACACACAAAGTTGAAAGAAAACAATACTTGATAAACAAAATAGATGCTTATCCAGAATATCATAACAAGCGGTAACATTATGCAAAGAAGTTTAAGAGTTAAAAGAACTTCTTTTGAACCTATCCAAATTACAACTAAAGGAGCCTAAGTCTCAGAAGATTGGGTCTGCTAAATACTCCGCTAATGTGTAATTTCTAAAAATCTAAGGTATGCCATTAAGGTTCTCAAATGTTTTTATTCAAGATCATCAATAAAGTACAGAAAGTCATTCTTTTTCTTGAAATAGAAGTATCTAATTTATGTTATTACCATCTCCAGTAAAGTGCAATTGTGCAACTACATTAAGTTAAAAAAAAGACAAATCCAGATCATCTTATTACACTAATTATAATACTTGCTTACTGCCATTTATCAATATCACAATCCTTTAAAAAAAAATTAGAATGGCTGACTAAATACGGATCTCAGAGTGCCTTTCTGGAGAGTCTACCAAGTACTTCAGGAGAAGTCAAATGAAAAAGGAGCTAAAGAGTGAAAAACAAGTCATTTAGCTTTTGAAAAATGGGCTAGCTCTGCCTTTTACAGATCTCTGCTCCTGCCAGCCCAATTCCAGAAATGTATTTCAAAAACTGTTTTCTAACAGTAGCTATAAAAATTGACAACACTGATTTTTCTTATTTAAGAACTTCTTTTAGTCTCCGGAAAATACTGCATTTTTTCACAATATAGGGTCTAACATTCTCAAGTAAGAACATGACCAGCCCTAAAGGCAACTTGGTTTCTGATAAACTGTTTATTTATCTGCAGAAACAAAGAACAAGCTCTACCTGAGGTAGGGAGACCAGATCTTACTACTCCTATTAAAAGGTTGTAAGGCTTTTTTAAAAAAAATTATCATAACCAATTAGACCATAACTGATCTAACCAAAGAGAAGATCAGAGCCTAAAGGGGTCAAGTACCTAAATGGGGGATGTGGTGTGGAAGGGGTCACAGCCTTTCGGGAATGGTAAGACCAGGATCAGATCCAGGTTAGAAGACTCCTACTACAACATGCTTTTCTGTCTCCCTGGCTCTGCCTGAATCAAATGATAAATCAGGATATGTGCTGAGAGCCTTGGAGAAGAAAGCTTGACCCCTTCTCTTACGATTACCATCATACTTGCAGACTACAGAGGGGCAGTGTAACTCCCCACTGCCCTCAGGATTAAGATCCAAACACTTTTCAACGACTCCTCACCGTTCTGCACCCTAACCCAGCAAGGCCAGTGGTATTCTGCCTTTCATCCTCTTTGGACACACTGCTCTTTCCTTGTTACTTAGTTAACCTCTGCTTGTTCTTCAGAATTCAGCCTAGAGGTCACCTCTTTCAAAAACGCTTCTTTGACCTCTATTGTTCAACTCTCCCAAACTGGATTAGATGCCCCAGCTAAATGCTGATACATTGTCACTGTCTGCTTACTACTTTTCTCTCATTAACCTTAAAGGGAAGGAGGGACTGTCTGAGTATTTGTCATTGTGTCCCTAGGACATAATATAACATACATTTTGGATTTGGAAAGACCTGTATTGGTACTCTGATCTTGTCATTTTCAAACTAGGGCCACATAGACAACTACCAAACCTGAGAGAGAGAGCCCTTTCTACGAAATGGGAAAAAGAGCATCTGACTCATAAAGTTGCAAAGACTTCAATGAGATAAGGTATGTAAAAGCGTGCCTGGCACCTAGTGGGTCCTCAATAGCTTATCTATCATTCAGAGCTAGGCACACGGGGGAATGGGAACTGCTTGGAGTAATCTAGATTTCTTTCTTTCTTTTTTTTTTTTTTTTTTTGCCGTACGCGGGCCCCTCACTGCTGTGGCCTCTCCCGCTGCGGAGCACAGGCTCCGGACGCGCAGGCTCAGCGGCCATGGCTCACGGGCCCAGCCGCTCCGCGGCACGTGGGATCTTCCCGGACCGGGGCACGAACTTGTGTCCCCTGTATCGGCAGGCGGACTCCCAACCACTGCGCCACCAGGGAAGCCCTAGATTTCTTATACTCGTAAACTGGCATTTTGAACAGATGGAAAACCAAAAAGGTACTGTTGAAAATTTGACGACAATTCCCCTGAAAAATGCACACACAGAAAGAAAAGACAATCTGAATTTCTATGAATCCCAGATTAAGTCCTATAAAAGATTCCTTGAATTTGGCATGGCTTTAGGGAAAATTGCGTAAACTTGGTCACTCCGATTCTACCAAGGGAAACAGCAAGTGGTCCTAAGTAAAAACATCGGAAACAAAACAACTTAAGGAAACAAAACTTGTTACAGTTGTCAGCACAGAAAGAATCCCCCACGGAGAAGGCACTTGGATAATAATCAACATGCAATGGTAAATTACTTACATGTATGCAAAAAACGGAAAAGTTACAACCTCTGCAAAAAGGTGACAATTTTCCCAGTAAAAGGTTGCGCATAATGTTCTAACACCGCATAGCGGTGCAGGCTTAAACATTTGTTACAATGTGATAAACACTTCAATTACGCATCTAGCAAATGTTCCGGGGGAAGGCGAGCAACATACTCGAAATATCCAGCCCTAACTCTCCCATGTATAGCCATTAAATCAAGAATCAAAACAATCTGGAAAAATTCCTCTATACCTACTGAAGACTGATCAAAGACCAGGACCGAATCTTTCCAGCCTTTTAACACCACTCTGACAAGTCGCTTTAATAAAACGTAACTTCCCTCAGTAACAACTAGCACTTTCAAACAGTGCTAGTTGTTACAATTAGCACTTTCAAAAGGTACTCCTTTTTTCGGGTTACAGGGAAACATCACGCTTCTCTACTCCTGCAGAATTGTGAGGAAGGGAAAAGCAAAAATGGCGTGCCGTGCTGGCAAATTACTACACAGAAATAATACTTTTTTTTGTCCTGGGACGGGGGTCGGGGGTGGGGTGGGAGGAATCAAGTCTGAGGTCTCTGCAGTTGAAACTGGTGGGACACGCTACAAGTATTACAAACGGGCTCGGCCACTTTTACTATATCGGGGGCCACAGGCAATGGGGGCCCTCCTCGGCCGGCCTTGGCCCCTTCCTTCCCCCGGATCCCTCCCCTAAAGGGAGCCTCGTGGCAATTCGGGTGATGAAACACCCGGCAACGAGCGGCCACGCACTGGGGACGCGCTCAGCCTCGGCGGCCGCAGCTTGTACCCACCCCCACCCAGTCCGCCTAGCCTCTGGGAGCATCGCCATGCAGGGCCCGACCCGCACCACTCCCCGACATGGGGGATCCCCGGGCCAGTCCTCCCGGCCAACTTCCCCGCAGCCTCGCGTGGACCGAGTCGGGTCCGAGTCCCGTCCCGAGCCCCGAGTCACCTTCCCTATCACTCCATCCCGCCTCCCAGCCTGCACTCCCGAGGGCCGGTCAGCAGAGCGGAGCGGCGCCGCAAGCAGGGAGCAGGGAGAGCGGCCCTCGCCCTTGTCACCGTCGTCCTCCGCCACGGCCGCAGCGCTAACCCCGGAGACAGAGCTGGCCGGGGCCGCGCGCCTCTCGCCGCTCCGCGTCCCCTGGCGCCTTCTATTGCGTGGCGCAGGGCAGGCAAGCTAGCAAGCTGGCAGGCGGGATCGGCGCCCCAGGAAGGGAAAGAGCGCGAGGGCCAGCTAACGCTGCCGCCGCCGTCGCCGCTGAGTCAGCGCGAAGCGCGCTCCCCGCATCGGAGCCGCGCGGACCAAAGCCTGCAGCCTCATGGAGAGCGCGGACTACGGCCTGCGAACCCGGACCGAGAGCCTACAACTCCCAGCATGCAATGTGCAGGCGACACTTCCGGGCGATGGGGCGCACGCGCTTGCCGGGCGCTAGCCAGGAGACGTGGTTGCCGGGGTCTCTGGTGCATGCTGGGATGGGGGTTCGTGGGAATCTCTCCCGGCTGTAGAGTTACTTGCTGTTTCTGCGCCGGGACACAGACCCAGGGTTGGGTTTGCTTAGCACGTTCCATAAAGGCTTTGGTAGGTAGTTGGCAGGTTAGAGTATGGAGCCCGGGAGAGCCTCACCACGTGGTCCAAACCACGTGTGAGTCAGTTGTTTAATTATTCTCTTTTGTGGTCCCACGTGTTCCCCCGCGTGAGGATCCTCCGAGGAGCGCTGAAAATTTTTAATTTTCTTTTTAAACGTACCAGTATTTGTCATTCGTGAAAAGAAGGAGCGCTTTCTTAGGAAGTCCTATTCGTAGGTTCCTTCTATGATACTGTTACTTCGTTTATTCATTCACCGATTAGTTTGTTAATACTGACTAGAGGTAGTGTGGGCACAAGCTGCGTAGATTTGGATCACAGCTCGCCCTACTCCCGTCACCTACCACCCCGCTCACTAGTTGTTAACCTTAGTTTCAGGCGCGTTACATAATCTATCTGTACTTAAGTTTACTCATCAGTGAAACGGTGGATGATAATCATATTGACCTCAAAGTGTTGTTGGCAGGATTAAATTAATACATGTGTTTGGCATACAATAAGTGCTCGTTATTTAGGTTTCATTGTTGATTGTTAAGTATGTACTGAATACAGACTAGGTTGCCCTCACTGGAACTACAGTGAAAAACAAAACTTGGGGGAGGGGAATGGAAGGAAAAGTAGAATAAAATTAATGTAACCATTTAACAGCTACATTTATTTAGTGACCGGCCATGTGCGAGACACTGCCCTAGGCATTTCATATATAAAGTATCTCGGATCACTTTTGCATCACGCTTGTAATTTACTCGTTTAAAATGTCAGGCTAGGATTCCTGTGCTATTACAGTGTATCCCCAGCGTCTAGTACCATGCCCGCCTGTAGTTACAACTCAATAAGTGAACAATATGGAGGCCTAATGCTAATCGTGGTCTAAGTGGCTCCAAAGTCTGTCATATGTTCAGTGTATTCCACTGTATCATCCTAAAGACCCTCAAAATACAGTCTATTGTATTGTTACCATCTATATTTGCCTTTTTCATTTGTAAATTTATTTTGTGGATACTTCATATGGGGAAGTTTATCTACAGCTTATCTAGTATCTATAGCTTATCTACAGTTTATCTAATAACACTGGCCCTTTATGGTAGTTCAAATACCTAGGATTGTAAAAAACCTCTGAATTTTGTAAATTCATGTTGTTATTTCGTAACAAATAAGGAAACTACTTGGAATCTACCTGAAGAGGATCTGAGAGGGATATTAAATTTGACCATTCCGTATTCTGGTTCCCCCATCCATAAAGGGATGGACAGTTTCCCATCTCAGACTAACATAAAATGCCAGTTATCAAAATGTTGACAAAGAGCTGTGATTATTTTAACTTAAAGCATGTGTGCTTGCACATGGCAATGCTTGTATGTACTAATTGGCAACATTTTGGAGCATTTATTATGTGCCAGAAACAGTCCTGAATGTTCAGATGTTAATCCTCACAACAAGGTACTATCATTACGCCCATTTTATAGATGAGGAAACAGCAGTGCATAAAAGTTAAGTAGCAGAACTGGGATTCAAACGCGCATAGTCTGGCCCTAGAGTCTGTGCTTCTAACCCCTGTCTCTCAAATGAAGGTCCACTAAACGGTGATGACGCTGTAGAACTATTGTGCTAAGTCAATTTTTCTTCCTATAAATATGGTGAGGCACCTCTCTTATAAAAATAAAACATTGTTCCTGTCCCATATTTCCCTTTTTTTTTCAATTGCCAGAGTACTTGAAAGAATTAGGGTAGATAACATTTATATATTTCATTATGGTTTACAATATGTCTCCATATAACTTTTCTAATTTGTTCCTCTTAACCTTGTAGGGATGGAGCAGATATCATGATCATGATCATGATCATGATCATCATTTTTAATTTACAGAAAAGGAAACAGGGGCTTCCTTGGTGGCGCAGTGGTTAAGAATCCGCCTGCCAGTGCAGGGGACATGGGTTTGAGCCCTGGTCTCGGAAAATCCCATATGCCGCGGAGCAACTAAGCCTGTGTGCCACAACTACTAAGCCTGTGCTCTAGAGCCAATGAGCCACAACTACTGAGCTCGTGCGCCACAACTACTGAAGCCCGTGCACCTAGAGCCCGTGCTCTGCAACAAGAGAAGCCACCGGAATGAGAAGCCTGCGCACCAAAACAGAGTAGCCCCCACTCGCCGCAACTAGAGAAAGCCCATGCGCAGCAACGAAGACCCAATGCAGCCAAAAATAAATAAATTAATAAATTAATTAAAAAAAACAGGTGGATCTATTTTAAGTAACTTATCCACATAGCTAGTAAATGGTGGGCTAGAACCCTAGATTCTTGATTCTAGATTTCCTGTCTTCAGGACACCATATATGTTGCCTACACTTAATCTTCCAGTCTCTCACTTATTGTAATCTGTTTTCTGTTCCCAAATCTCTCTACTAAAACTCTTACAAATGATCCAACCCCGTGACCATTTTTATTAATTTATTTCAACTTTTCTGTTGACTATTTCCTTCCTCCTTGAAATTCCTCTCTTGACTCTGACCCTGTGTTATCCTCAAAATCCTTTTATTTTTTTTGATGACTACTCTGTCTTCACTGCACTCCTACTTTTGTTCTCTTTACCATGTCTTCCCCAAGGCTGCCTTCTTAGCCACCTGGCTTTCTGTTTTCTGCACTTGCTCTCAGTAATTATTTCCATGGCTTCAACACTCATTTCTATGAAGATAATCTCCCATTCTCTACTTCTGGTTCTAAAATTCTGTACTCCTAACTTGTGTTACAAGACACCTACACATCTCACCAGCATGTCAACTCTTAACATGTCCAGAACCAAAGTCGTGATCTTACCCACAAAATACATCTCCCTCCTGATGTGGCTATTTCTACCAATGCATTCGACTCCTCAACATAACTCAGTGCTCTTAGGGTCAGTTTGTTGCTTTCATGTTCAATTTCAGCATAGTGCTGTCACATATATCTTTTCTGTTCCTTTCCTTATTTCCTCTACCTTACATTAGGCTTTCAAAGCTTCTCTCATGGACTTACTGAAGGAAACATCCATTTCTTGAAAGTTATCTTTAGGTTGTGAGACTGCAGGTGATTTTTGTTATCTTCCTTGTACCTTTTTGGATTTAAAAAAAAATTCACAGTGAACATGTAGTCCATTCATTAAAAAATTTTTTTAAAAACTGACTATAATAAAAGGAAAAAAAGAAACAGTTTCATTCACTCTTTGAGAATTTATTGAATGCTACCTCCCTCAAGAAGTGTTTCCACATTTCCATAACCAGGCTTATTTGATCATTTCTTTGATGTTGTGCTTTTTTTCTCATACCTCTCATGTCATTAATATATTTTAATATGTTTTTGTTTTGTATTAAATTTGTGTGGTTGTCTTACTCACCTATTAGTCAATTCTTGAAGACTGAAAATAAGTTTTATCCTGATTCTGTTTATGGGTAATAATTTCTCTGTAAATATCTGTGAAATGTATTGAATTGAACCCAAATAATATAATATGAGCTGATAACCACTGAGTTCTGTGTCAGATTCTCTTATTTGTCTCAAAGCTTATTAAGCCTAGTGTCATTGTCACCAAAAGCTCATTCATGATGGGTTTCCTGGACGAGAAAGAAGTCAGAAAATAGGTCAGGTGAGCTGTCTTTATTGGGTTCTAGTCCAATCATTGGTTTCTTTTAGAGTAAGTGGGTGTGAAGCAGGAAGCCTGAGGCAGAACAGAGCACTGGGGCATTATTTAGTAAAAGAAAAAGTTGTTTGTTTTAATCCAAGGCATTTGCATGTTTCCTTAGACTTTATCATAATGATACCTCCTCTTCTCTATATGTCAGTTGACTGCTAATGTTGTAGATATTTAAATGGTCAGTATCCATTAATACTAAGTAGAAATACCAAGGGATTCCTAATTCAGACACCTTTAAAAGTGCAGGTTCTATTTACCTACTACAGGCTTCAAGTATCTCTCTATACATACTGTCTTTAGTTTCACGCTGGGAGATGGGAACACTTGGGATCCCTAGACCCACTGAAGGGTACTTCTAGTTTGAAATCCTTACAGGATTCTTATGACCTATGGCCCACTGCTCATTTCTCCACCAAAAATGCAACTAAAAAAAAAAAAGGTAAAAATGTCATTCTTTTGTTTGTATATTTGTGCATGTAGATTAGATGTTGTCTTGAGCCTTAATCTAAAGTTTAAAAAGTTAGGCTAGCACCCAACAAGGAAGAGTTTAATATTACTACTTTGTATATGGGGAACTAAATGACCATATATGTACCAGGAAATCACATACTTGTTCAATTTATTTTTAAAACACTTACACATTGTCGCTGTGTTCTAGGTACCTGTTATAAGTACTTAGAAACATTGCTAATCCTCATAATAACTCTATGGGGTTGGTACTATTACCCCGTTTCACAGATCAGGAAACTGGGGCACTGAGCAATTAAGGTAAGTTGTCCAGGAACTCCCTGGCAGTCCAGTGGTTAAGACTCCGTACTCTCCCTGCCAAGGGCCCAGGTTTGATCACTGGTTGGGGAACTAGGATCCTGCATGCCGTGCAGTGTGGCCAAATAAATAAAGTTGTACAAGGTAATTTTTTAAACTACTGAGTGACACCTGGAATTTGAACCACGTCATCTGGCTCTGCAGACCTATGCTCAACACTACTGTCCTAAGGCTACTCTGTTCTTCTGGTTAAGGAGAGTGCCTTTGGGTATTAGTTCCAGGTAAGTAATGTTCCATTCCTTTGGATAGTTTTATCAAGAAACATCTCTTAAGTGCTTGATTGCATAGGATCTGTACCAAATGCTTCCTGAGTTTGGATGGATTTAGAAGATAAGGAATAAATGCTTATGTAGGGTGTATTTATGTTAACTATCCTCATAAAGCTTACCAAAAGGTAAGGGAATATGGATACTTTGCATGTCTGTAGTGCTTTCAGAACTCATAAGTCATTGCCTTTGCTCCTCACATCAGCTCTTTGGTTAGCAGGGCATAAATTAGTACTAGTTTCATTTTACGAATGGTCAAATGAGGCTCAAAAAGGTGAAGTGACTTTCCAAAAATCTCAGATACTGAGCAACAGGATTAGTGCTCTAATCCAGTTCTCCTGACTCCAAATCCAGGGATCTTTCTCCTATATGAAACCCCTTTCCTGTGATCCGAACTTTGCTGTTACACTGGCAACAGTATAGAACAACAAGTGACTGGAAACCAAGATACTGCCTTCTCTGTGTGCCACAAAGTTAAAAATTTAACTGAGCTCACCTTAACCACCAGACCCTTTGTTAAATTCCCTTCTTCATGTGCAACATTTGTTAAGCCTAGTACCCTTATCACCAAAAGCTCATTTATGGTGGGATTCCTGACAGAGCAGATATGCTGTCTTTTCTGGTCCTGATCCAGTAATTCTGTTTCTTAGTCCCAGGAAGTGGGTATGGAACAGGGAGCCCAAGAGACACGAAATAGCAGTCTGGACTGATGCCTTTCCCCACTTTCCTCACATTCCACCTCTGCAGTAGCCATTTACTTTTCTTTTCTTTTCTTTTCTTTTTTTTTTTAACATCTTTATTGGGGTAAAATTGCTTTACAAATGGTGTGTTAGTTTCTGCTTTATAACAAAGTGAATCAGTTATACATATACATATGTTCCCATATCTCTTCCCTCTTGCGTCTCCCTCCCCCCCCCCCCCCCCCTCCCTATCCCACCCCTCCAGGCGGTCACAAAGCACCGAGCTGATATCCCTGTGCCATGCGGCTGCTTCCCACTAGCTATCTACCTTACGTTTGTTAGTGTATATATGTCCATGCCTCTCTCTCGCCCTGTCACAGCTCACCCTTCCCCCTCCCCATATCCTCAAGTCCGTTCTCCAGTAGGTCTGTGTCTTTATTCCTGTCTTACCCCTAGGTTCTTTTCAACCACTCTTGTGAGGTGTGGCTATTTGGCAAAGCTGAAGGGCCTTTGCCTTCTGTTGGTTTGAGGCAACAAATTCTAGAATGGGTTACATAGCGAATAGTCTTTATTTCAGAGGAAATAGCCATGCCTCTGGGGCTCCAGGTATGAAGTTATGAAGAGTCAGATGTATGATCAGATTCTAAGAAAACTTTAAATGCTAGGTCATTTAAAATTTTGTCAGCAGGTGGCTCTTCTCTCCTTATTCACCAAATACATTCTCGCCAAAAAAAGAAATATTGTTTCTACTTCTTTGCTGCTATCGAGTTCCTCAGACTTCTTTAGTCACATCCAAACATTTCTCCTCAGCTCCCTTTTGCAGCGACTTAGTCTACAATAAGTTTATGCATTTTAATTTATTTATACTCTCCACAAAGGATTTGAAATTGCTTACAACATACAGTATGCCATAGTAAAATATGAGGAAAAGGAGAATATAAAATGCAATAAAGAATATGTAATTCGATTCTGGGTTGCAGGTAGCTGGAGCAAATCAAACAAAATATAAATATATGGTTTGCATTACCAGGTCTCTGGGTGAGTGAGCAGGAAGAGAGAATGACTTTTCTAGGATTTGAAATTAAAATGAAAGTTCTCACCTAGAGTTATTGGAGGCAAGTTTCTGTTGCTGTGTCCTTCTCATCTCTCTAACCTAATTTATAATAAGTTATTCAGGGTCTGTAAAAACTAAGCCGTACTTTTACTACCCTGCATTCTCCAGGCTGCATGATCAGCATTTCTCAACCTCTAAGCTTCAATTTGTTCAAGATGCAGGCTTCACCCATTCATTCATCCTACACAGATTGAGTTCTGACTGCCTACAGGGCGTTGTCCTGGGCACTGGGAACAGAGACATATCCATTAGGTAGGCTTGGGTGTGCTCAAAACAATTTATAAGATTTTCTTCTGTCTACTCATAAAAATTAGAGAGCTATGCCATGCAGTGTTATAATCGAATGATAAACCTGTGTGATTGATCTTAATAGGGCTCTAGGATTGTTCTATTTAAAAATAAATCGGTAAATTACATGTCATTCAAGTTTCTAATAGAAAACCTGACTAAAACCGAGGCTTCCACACAGTTTGTAAGAAATGGCTTGGTCTGCAACAGCTGGAGTAGGCGAGGGTAGGGGGCCGGGGTGAGAGGAGGGCCCAGGATGCTTGCCAGCAAGGAACCTGGGGGACCGGCGTCGCGGCCCGCCCACTGTTTTCTGGGGTTGAGACCAGGATTGGGGGGGAGCGGGGCGGGGCCGGGAGGGGGGTGGTGATGCTCCAAGGAGACGGACCCAGGATTTGGTCTCCGAATCCCGGGGCCCGGCCCCCAGCGCCCAGGGGTGGCGACGGCTTTGTGGCGCGCGTGGGTTCTACCGCGGGCGGCGCGGAGGCGGGGCTGCGCGGAGGCGTCCACCACTCTCAGCCCTCGGCCCTGCAGCGGGCGCCCCGCATGGCCAGCACCGCGCGGGCCACTTTCCCCGCGCGTAAGAACAGCCGCCTGGACGCGTTCCTGCGGAGGCATCTGCCGGCCCGAGGTCTACGACGCCATCCGCGCCTACGAGCAGTGCATCGTGGTGTCCGACACGGGGAAACACACCTTAAAGTACGTGCTGCTCAGTGACCGGCTCATCTACCTGACCGAGAACCCGCTCCAGTCCATCCGGCGAGTCGTGGCGCTCCGGAACATCGCGGCCATTGACCTGGTGAGGCGCGCGGGCGGGCTCGCGAGAACCCCCCCCTGCTTGGGGGGGTTCTGTATGCACTCCGAATAAAGATGCTTTTACCGTTCTCATCTTGTGTACCGGTCATCCCCTGTCCCCTCAAATACAGATTTGGAGAACATAGCCCCCTATCAGAAGTACGCTTTGACGTCATTCCTAAGTTCATTAAGCATCTAGCCTTGCCAAGCACTGTCTAGACACTGAGGATGCAAAAATGAAATAGGGCGCCATCCCAGAAGCTGCTGTGGGAGAGACAGAAAGCCAACACCAGGACAAATAAATGCCATGTGATAAATGCTATTATGCCTTATTTTTTTATTTTTAGGGCTTAGAGCGTGTTAGGTGCTCAATATGAGTTAAGTGAATAAATGAATTAATCAATGAATGCATGCATGCATTAATGAGATGCGCATGGGACGCCTGGCAATCTCAGGCAGATCATTCATCCAAACTGGGCTCAGACCATGCTGGGAAAACTTCCTGGAAGGAGTGTCATAAGAGCGGAGCCTTGAAGGAGATACAATCTGTCCCAGTTTTTAGTGTGCTGCTACTGTATCCCTTTCGTCCAGGAATAGATTTACCTTATAAACCAGCAACAGCTTGAAGCAGTCTCTCTCCAATTACTGTTTTTCCCCCTTGGCTCCCTTTGTCTGAGCTGCTCTTCAGGTGTGTTCTTCCTTTTTCCATTGGGGACAGGTGTCTAGCCTCGTTTTTCTTTCCTTTGCCCTAGTCTCTGTGTCCCTCAAGGGAGAGGTTGGCGAGACTCTTGATAGAGCTGTTTTTTTATTTTTATTTATTTATTTATTTATTTATTTATTTATGCGGTACGCGGACCTCTCACTGCTGTGGCCTCTCCCGTTGCGGAGCACAGGCTCTGGACGCGCAGGCTCAGCGGCCATGGCTCACGGGCCCAGCTGCTCCGCGGCACGTGGGATCTTCCCGGACCGGGGCACAAACCCGTGTCCCCTGCATCGGCAGGCGGACTCTCAACCACTGCGCCACCAGGGAAGCCCTGATAGAGCTGTTTTGCCAAGAAAATCATAGCTTGTTTGGAACATGTCTGTAAGAAAATAGTAAAATTAAATGAAAAAAGTAGGGCTTCCCTGGTGGCACAGTGGTTAAGAATCCGCCTGCTAATGCAGGGGACATGGGTTTGAGCCCTGGTCCGGGAAGATCCCACATGCCGCAGAGCAGCTAAGCCCGTGCACCACAACTACGGAGCCTGTGCTCTAGAACCTGCGAGCCACAACTACTGAAACTCGCGTGCCTAGAGCCCGTGCTCCGCAACAAGCCACTGCAATGAGAAGCCCGTGCACTGAACCGCGGCTAGAGAAAGCCTGCACGCAGCAATGAAGACCCAATGTAGAGAAAAATAAAAGAATGAATAAAATAAATAAATTAAAAATAAATAAATAAATGAAAAAAGTAAATGCTTTCTTTTTCTACTTAAAATACCGCCGTGGGCTGATATCACTATGCTAATTTCTTTGCTTTATTTGAGCCAAAGCTGGAAGTAAAACTGCCTTTTCCTCACTGCTACTGTTTGCATTCTCTTGAACTAAAATTTTTAAAAAATTAAATTTCTGACCAAATGTTTCAGAAAACATTAAACACTCAACTTCTTCTAGTGTCTGCAGTGTAAACATGTATTCTTTTAACAGAAAATAGTGATTTTAGGATATTGTTACTCTCCCCAAAAAGAGACAGTATACATATTTCAGTAGTTGTTATATGTATTTCTTTCTAAGCTGTCAGAATCTGAAAAGTACAGTAAAGCTCCCTAGGCCTCCCAAGCCAAGAATATTACAAAAAGGCATACCAATTTATTTATTTATATGAAATACTACATATTTCAGTAGTTGTTATATATATTTCTTTTTAAGCTGTCAGAATCTGCAAAGTACAATAAAGCTCCCTAGGCCTCCCAAGCCAAGAATATTACAAAAAGGCATACCAATTTATTTATTTATATGAAATACTACATATTTCAGTAGTTGTTATATATATTTCTTTTTAAGCTGTCAGAATCTGCAAAGTACAATAAAGCTCCCTAGGCCTCCCAAGCCAAGAATATTACAAAAAGGCATACCAATTTATTTAGTTTACAAGGTAAACTCTGTACTCGATTTACAGAGTTTACCTTTCAGGCATATAGAAGAATGTGTAATGTCTATAAGGGTGCCAAACAAATCTAAGATTTCAGCATTGTTGATAGATTTAAAGTCCATCTTACACAATATAGTTTAACTTTGTTTAAAGTTGTGGTAGGCAGAATAATGGCTCCCAAAAGATATCTCCAGAACCTGTTTTACGTTACATGGCAAAGGGGAATTACAGTTGCAGATAGAATTAAGGTTGCTAGCTAATCAGCTGACCTAAAATAGGGAGATTATCTTGGATTATCTGCATAGGGCGAATGTAATCACAAAATCCTTAAAAGTGGAAAAGGGAGGCAGAAGAAGAGTCAGCAGCAGAGTGATGCAGCATAAGAAAGACTACTGGTTCTGAAGTTGGAAGGGGGCCGCGAACCAAGGAATGTGCACAGCCTCTAAAAGCTGGAAAAGGCACAGAAACAGGTTTTTCCCTAGAGCCTCCAGAAAGAATGCAGTCTTGCTGATACCTTGGTTTTAGACCAGTGAGACCCATATCAGATTTCTGACCCCAGAACTGTAAGAAAATAAGTTTGCGTTGTTTAATACCACAAGTTTATGGTAATGTGTTACAACAGCAATAGGAATTCAATAAAGAAGTGTTTTCTCTTATGTTGTTTTAAAATGGGTAATTGTTAAAATGTATTGTTTCAGTGAGAAATAAGTATAATCATGCCAAGCACAAATGCCTTAATCTCTTTTTCTGGGTTTTTATTATAGTTATTGTTACATTTCAGTGGCTTGTACTAAGCTCCATAGGGTGTGTGAAAAATGGGTGTCCCCAAATTGCTTTATCTACTGTCAATTAGTAACGAATTAATAACACTATGTCTGTCCTTGGTACCACACAGAGAATTTTGCTGATTTCTATGTTATGTCATATATAGTTGTCCTGCTATCTGTTACATTGGATTATATTATCTCAGTGCCGGGCTTTGTTTTTTAGAACTGGTTCCTCCTTTCTTGAAAGATAAACTGTTTAATCTCCTTTTCTACTAGGGTGCTGTCCTCTTTCTAAGGCTACCTCTTTAGACATACTTTTCCATTCTCAAAGGTCTTCTCATTTTACTGTGCAAGTTTGTCTCTTGTTATTTAACTTTCAGTTGGCTCAGGTTCCTACTTGGCCTTTGTTTTTACTGTCCTGTCAATAAAGCCCCTACGCAAACCAGTCCTTTATGCCTCTGGGCCTCTACCCTTCTTGTTCCACATTTGGCCAGATTTCTCCACATAGTTCATGTCTCATATTCCAGTTACACTTAGGATAAAATTTGCAAATATACAGATAAAATTCTGTTCTCTCCCCTAAGGAAAAAAATTGAAAGAACAGCAACAAAACGTTAGACCCAGAGTATAGATGTGAGATTTCTGTTCTAGCAAAGACAAGTTCCACGTGCACTTGGAGGTCTCAGTAGGTGATTTGTTTTTGTTTTTTCAAAACAAATTAATGTCAGTTTTATTTAAATAATTTTTTTTTTTTTTTTTTTTTGGCGGTACGCGGGCCTCTCACTGTTGTGGCCTCTCCCGTTGCAGAGCACAGGGTCTGGACACGCAGGCTCAGCGGCCATGGCTCACGGGCCCAGCCACTCCGCGGCATGTGGGATCTTCCCGGACTGGGGCACGAACCCGTGTCCCCTGCATCGGCAGGCGGACTCTCAACCACTGCGCCACCAGGGAAGCCCTAAATAATTTTATGTAAGTTTTTTAATCATTTATATTTAAAATTTAATTATTTTAAAAGTTGATATATGTTAGTTTCCGGTGTACAACACAGTGGTTTGATATTTCTATACATTACAAAATGATCACCACTCAGTAGGTGTTTGTTATGGTTCATATCCTAAAAGAAAGGGTTTCCAAGGTTGTTTGGGCAGAGCTTTTGTGAAAGGCAGATGTTTTCTTTCAAAGTTGCTTTTGAAAGCTCTAGAGTTCTGCTCTTGTCCTGTGCATCACAATACTATTCTTTAAGCCCTTCTAAGATTAGACACATTTTTCAAGTGTGAGAACCAACTCTCCTGAACAGTGATTTCCTATGGATTCACTCTCCTTCAATGCCATCCCATCACCTACAAAGAAAAAAAACCTGTCAACTTCAGCAGCCCTTGTTTCTACTTCTTGCCTTTCTTTGTCCTTGTCCTTTCACCACTTTCCTCAGTGAATATCTCCTCTCCAGCCATCCTGGGGTCCATGTGGCTTCTTGAACAGGCAGCAAATGCACCTTTATAGCCGGGCCTGTTTGCTTGCAGTGTTTGCTTCCTCCTCCTTCAAGGATGTTCAGAACGTCGTATCTATAATCTTCCTCCTTCTCTTTCTCCTTTTAAAAATGTAAAAAATATTCTCGGCTCGGACAGAAACAGGTCACAGGCTGTGCCGAAGGGGCCACTATAGTTTGCTAACGGATTCCTGCTTTCCCCTTCCCGCATTCAAATCCTACACAGTTTCCAGGCTAAGCCCAAGTTGTTCTTTCTCCAAATCACTTTTCCTTGACTGAGCCCATGAGAGCAGGTCTTTTGGTCTGTTTTGCTCATTGCTCTATCTGGTTCCTAGAACATTGCCTGATACAGGTGAGATGGCCAATAAATATTTGTTAAATATTCAACATAATCTGTCTCTTTGTTTCTCAGTTTATTATCTGCAATATACATCGGGGCATTTAGTAATACATTTTTATTCAGCTTTTGCTTTCTACCTGTGTGGACTTGGTCAAGTATATTCATCCTCTACTTTGTGCCTCCATTTCTTCATCTGTGAAATGGAGATAACAGCACCTTCCTTATAGAGCTGTTGGGAGGATTAACTTCATTAATAGATGAAACACACTTAAAATAGTACTTGGCACATGGGAAGAGCTACATACATGTTTCATTATTATCAATAACCTTTATTCACATATATTAAGTCAACTAAGTTTCCTGAATCTGTAAGATTGATATTATCTCTTTAGGAGATTTAGTAAATTTGGGGAAAAAATAACTGGTTTTTGAGCATTATGTATTAGGTGTTTTATTTATTTATTTAGGCTGCGCCAGGTCTTATTTGCGGCATGAGGACTCTTAGTTGCAGCATACATGCGGGATCTAGTTGCCCCACCAGGGATTGAACCCAGGCCCCCTGCATTGGCAGCGTGGAGTCTTACCCACTGGACCACCAGGGAAGTCCCTATATATTAGGTGTTTTTAAATCTCATTTATTCTTTTTGAAAATTTGTGCACTGGGTTTGTCAAGTTTAATATGTTCAAAAACAGAATTCCTGATCTCCACCCCCAAACGTGTTCCTCTCTTAGCTTTTCCTATTTTAGGAAGCAACATCATCTTCCATTATCTTTAATTCTATCTTTCTTTCACTCTCCTCATCCTACACATCAGTATGTCATCTTGACTTGTGTAGAAGAGGAAAACGTTTTTCTCAGCCCTCTTAGGGACCCTGGCTAGGTCTGAAAATTTTATATGACATGGGAGCCTTTATAAGGAAATGAAATCTCAAAGAAGAAACAGTTAAACCTATGTGTGTTTAGTACTAGGTTTAATGAAGAATGGAGAGTCATAGAAAAATGTGATAGTTCAAAAAAGCTAAGGGTAATAGACTGGGGAAATTTTAGAAAGGCCTGCTTGTTTGGATTTGTCTTAACATCCCTGTCTTGGAGATAAGGATGTTCCTTTCCTCTGGGTATAGGGAGGGCACCTCTCTCATGAGGGCCTTAAGACCTGATTCAGGGGAGGAGGGCTGGGGAAGGTCAGAAGGACTTTCTTGCATCTGTGTTTTCTTGAATTCCTTCAGCTCAAAGTATTCAGTATGCCAAGGCACCATATTTTGGGGTAGTGTGTTCTGAACCCCATCACTTGTCTTCCAAAATATATCTAACTATGACCTTTCCCATTTTTCTTATTCTTTTTTCTAGCACCACTTGTCCAGTCCCTTATCTACACTACTGAAATTGCCTCCAAATTGATTCCTCTCCACATAGCAGTTGGGATGATCCTTTTAAATAATAATTATAAATTAAATTATATCACTCTTCTGTTTCAAAGTCTGCATGAACTTGCAAACTCCTTATTGCCTATAGGAGCCTCCATGGTTTGACCCCTCCATCTCTGACTTACCTCCTACCACTCTTTCCAGAGCTCTTTCTGCTCTTCTTCCTGCCTCAGGGCCTTTGCACCTGCCATCCTATCTGGAACACGTTTCCTCAGATCTTCAGAGGGTTGATCCCTTCTTGTCAGTCATGTTTCTGAATTCAGCATCACCTCCACAGGGATGCCTTCTGTGTTCACCCAATCTAAAGTACCATTCCCCCAACACACTTAGCACATCTCTTTGTTTCAAAACACTTACCACTATTAGCAGTATAAGATTAATGTGTTTAGTGATTCATTATTGTCTATGTCCCATAGTAAATGTAAGCTCCATGAGAGCAGGACCTTGTTTGTCTTTTCATCCCTGTGTCACTGTGCGTTATATTCCCAGACACATAGCAGATAATCAATAACTACTTGTAAAACTGGGAGAATGAATAAGTGAATCAATGGATGCTCAGATCCATCACACAGTTTACCTCTTAGAAAGGGACATATTTCCTTATTTCCAAATATTGAGGGACTTGGGAGACTGACAACTCATCACACTGGCCAGAGTTAACATAGACAGTTAGTGGCAGAGTCAAGAGTAAATTCCCACGGGTCTCCTGCTGCTCAGATTCAGCTCTCTTAATGCTTCTTTTGTGTTTGTATGGGATGACCCCTGTGTTGTTTATCTGTGTCATGCATTTTGAGAGATAGTGAGAGTTATATGAGACCATGTTATGCATACTTCTTTTTATCTTGAGCTTTTTTTCCCTCTATTTTGACTCACTTGTTACATTTCAAAGATCTCACTGTGGGAGGAAGAAAGAAGTGGTAAACTCTTTATCAGTCATTGTGGCTGTTTCTTTTTTTTTTTAATTTTTAAAAAAATTAATTAATTTTATTTATTTTTGGCTGCATTGGGTCTTTGTTGCTTCGAGCGGGCTTTCTCTAGTTGCGGTGAGCCGGGGCTACTCCTCACTGCGATGCACAGGCTTCTCATTGCGGTGGCTTCTCTTGTTGCAGAGCCCAGGCTCTAGACGTGCAGGCTTCAGTAGTTGTGGCATGTGGGCTCAGTAGTTGCAGCATGCAGTCTCAGTAGTTGTGGCTCGTGGGCTCTAGAGCACAGGCTCAGTAGCTGTGGTGCACGGGCTTAGCTACACTGTGGCATGTGGGATCTTTCCGGACCAGGGCTTGAACCCATGTTCCCTGCATTGGCAGGCGGATTCTTAACCACTGCGCCACCAGGGAAGCCCAGGTCAGTGCTTGTTTGATTTTATTTATTTATTTTTTGGCTGTGTCGGGTCTTCATTGTGGCATGCAGGCTTTTCGTTGCAGTGCATGGGCTTCTCTCTAGTTGTGGCATGCAGGTTTTTCTCTCTCTAGTTGTGGTGCGGGCTCCAGAGCACATGGGCTCTGTAGTTTGCAGCACGTGGACTCTCTAGTTGACGCTCACCAGCTCAGTAGTTGTGGCGTGTGGGTTTAGTTGCTCCATGGCATGTGGGATCTTAGTTCCCTGACCAGGGATCGAACCCGTGTCCCCGGCGTTGGAAGGCAGATTCTTTACCACTGGACCACCAGGGAAGTCCCAGTGCTTGTTTGATTTTAATAACCTTATTAACAGCCAGAGATTTTAATGAAAACCCTCGTGAAGAAGTGCAAGGGGGTAACTGGAAAGATTGTGAACACTTGGCTTTAGGAAAATTCCTGGTAGTCATCTCTGTGAAACTTGGGCCTCCCACTACAGAGGGAACCACAAGTCCTGCCCTGATAATTGTGGTTTTATTATGGTTATTAACAGCATTCACTCTCCATTCAAAAATATTGGCTGAGGGGCTTCCCTGGTGGTGCAGTGGTAAAAAGAACTTTGGCTCTTTGCCCAGTTTATAATTTTGAATTTGCAAGTTTTTGTGAGGATTTATAGAGTCATCAATTCAGAACAGTAACTCTATCTTCTTCATAAACTCAATCAAATCATGTGACTAATGACCAACTAACTTTTTTTTTTTTAAGTCAAAGAAGAGAATAATGGCCCTGCCTTTTGGAGAGGCAAAAAGCCTAAAAGTTTGAATGAATCCCTTTTCAGGTGAGATTGTTGTTTTATGTTTTTAACTTGCTGTCCAAAACTTATTTTACATTTCAATTGGCTTTAAAAAAAATTATTTATTTTATTTATTTATTTTTGGCTGCTTTGGTTCTTTGTTGCTGTGCGTGGCTTTCTCTAGTTGCGGCGAGCAGGGACTACTCTTCATTGCAGTGCACGGGCTTCTCATTGCGGTGGCTTCTCTTGTTGCGGAGCACAGGCTCTAGGAGTGTGGGCTTCAGTAGTTGTGGCACGTGGGCTCAGTAGTTGTGGCGCGTAGGCCTAGTTGCTCCACAGCATGTGGGATCTTCCCGGACCAGGGCTCGAACTCGTGTCCCCTGAATTGGCAGGCGGATTCTTAACCACTGCGCCACCAGGGAAGCCCTCAACTGGCTTTTTAAAATGCTTTTTCTCTACTAATGTCTTTGAACTGAATTCTGTTTATCTCATGTACGTAATAATGAAGAAGGTATTTTGTGAGATTTTCTTCTAAATTCAAATCCAGTTAGTTATAAACTATAATTTTTCTCATTTCAATTGAATATACAGATGTCACAGTATAAATAAGTGATTAAAATCAAACTCAAATCATTTATTGAACTCTGGTTCTGTGTAGTGGTATGCTGGGCCCTGTAATAGATACAAAGATGACTAAGACATAGTTCCTGTCCTTGAGAGGCTGATTCTCACCAGGACATATGACATTTGCGTAAATAAAGATACTGCAAAGTATGCATGCTAAGTGTCATGATTGAGTTTGAGCAAATTGTCAAAGAGATTTAATGAGGGGAAAGGTCTTATTCTGTTGTGGGGAGAAGTCAAGATGCCAGATGACAGTCGGTGAAGGAATGGTGCACATGGTGATAGAGATACTGCAGTTGGAGGGAACAGTAGAAGCTACGGTAGAGGCAGGAAAAAATGGAACATGTATAAATTGAAAAAGGAGTTTCCTAAGCTGCATAACTCAAAGTATGATTCTATTACACACTTTAAGTATCTAGACGTTAGGAGGAAGGGAGCGTAGGATTCTAAGAGCTCTGAGTCAGGGGATTATAGGCATGGGGAAAATTAAGGTGCATTGGGGCCCTGAAAGTCAGGTCATGACATGGGGGAAACAGCCCCCAGGAAAACATTGCAAAATGTGGAAAGAAAAAGTGAATGCCTACTTGGAGAGTATTCACCCCCAAGACCTGTGGTGTACCATGCTGTGCAATGGGTTACTGGGGAGGGGCCTTTTCCCACTGTACTTATACCTTCTCTCACTGAACAATGACATACAAAGGTCTTTTAAACTAAATTTTATTAACTTTTTTTGCACCAAAAGAAAAAAAAATTGTTTTAGGAAGCCTGGCTTGTATCATTAGGCTTAGAGGATCATGATTTGTTCTAAATCCATGTAATAACAAGCTATGTTTTAAGGGGTTGATACACTTCCATTGTTACCCTGAGCGCCATAAATTACCAGCTTCTGGGAGGAGGGTCTCTGCCTTCTTGTCTCAGGGCACTAAGTGAAGCTCCGAACGCGGCCCTTGTAACTGGAAGTACTGAGGGAGAGGCACTGCCAGTGGATAGCCATCCACATGCTCTGAGATTCAACATTCATTTCACATTTGGCATATAATGCCCCAATTTTTCTAGACCACTCTGATAGCCTCATTGTTTTCTTCCAGTTTAGAAAAATAAAAGAGATTTCTAAGTAATGTATGCAGTAGCTGTTTTAGGTTATTGTGGAGGTCAGAACTCTTTTAAAAGTGGCAGAAGTCCAACTTAGGTTAAAAGGGGAATTTATTGGAATTACAGGGCAATATTGGAATTAGAGGGCAACTCATGTTATTCAACATTCATTCAGCAGATATGTATAGATACAGACATAAATATAGATGCAAATGTAGATCTATCTATTTTACCTGTTAAATCTGGCATATTCTATTTGCTGGGCTCTTCAATTTTAGATGTACAATGGTGAGCAAAATCAGCAAAAGTTAGAAACCACAACTTAGGAAAGTGGGAATGCTAAGAATGAAGTTGGACTTAGGCATAGCTGGAACTTGGGACTTGAATGCCATAGAACTTTGTCTCTGTCTCCTCTGATGTTTGTGGATCAGCTTCATTTTCTCTCACTGAATACCACGTCTTCTGTGGGACAGCAAAGTCACCAACTGTCTTAAATTCACTTTTTACTTCTCCCACCACCACACAAAGGCTAACTCACACACTTTCTCGTACCAAATTAAAAAATCCTGGGAAGGTCTCTGATGCCTAACTTGAATAAACGATTGACTGCTAAAAAAATATCCACCATAGCCAAGAGGTTTAAAAACATGGCAGCTTCTGCGTGCTCCATGTGTGGAGAGGAGGACTGATTTCCAAATAAAGTGGGGGTGGTGGAGTTAGGTCTGCTATCCCATAGTTTTCTAGTACTGTCATCTTCATAATTAAACATCTGACTCAAAAGTGTAAACAAAAGGCAGGCTACCATAAACACTAATTAGAGGGCTAAAGAATGTTATCATGTACAGAGCTTTGTGACACCTCTGAGGTGTAAAGTTTTAGGCCTAATTATGAGAAGCTGCAGGTCATAAGAAGGATGCAGTTATCTTGGGACATCACACTTACATAAATATGATTACTTTTCAAGGTAATAGTAAACAACAGGCCTTTTAACACCTGAGGGATAGAAAACAGACTGGTGATGATCTCTGATAATGAGATTCAGTACTTTGGTTTCTCTATCTTTAGTATAGCTCTTCATTAGTGCATAGTTCCATGTAGTCATGCATTTTACAGGAGAAAACCCAAGCAGATATCTAACCAAAATGTTCTCTAAGGAAAAGTTTATTGTGACTTACTTAAGAATCCCCTAAAGCTGGGAGGAAAAAGACTGCCTATTGCTTGCACGTATAAAAAAATCATACAGATCAATAGAACATTTTTACAGTGCTGGCATAGAGTAAGATTTATGTAAATTTAATTGCATTCACCTTGAATAATCCAAAGGAAAAGAGTGAAAATGCTTAGCCCTCAGTCCAGATCTGCTAAGCTCATACCCACCAGGGTGGATTTCAATCTGAGTTTACATCTATTTATAGCCTCTAATGATATTTAGCTAATGAAAACTTAAAATTAAGCAGATTTTATAACCATAGTGCATGGCAAGTAGTGGGATGAACTTCTGGAGAAACCGATCTGTTTAATTAACAGAATCAGAGCTGACCACCTTGGCATCCTTATGAAATGAGAATGTATTGCATTTAATTGTATATCATTAGCAAAATAGAAGGGAAAAAAAACAACAAAGAAGGTGAACCTTATATTTTTCTCTAAGAAGAAGCACTTCTTGGCAGAAAGTAGAAAAAGGGAGCTGTTTTATTCTTCTCTGCATAGTAGATAAAAACATAAAGGCTCTGTAGCCACACTGGCTGACTTCAAATCTGGACTCTACCTTGGACTATTTAACCTTCCCAGGCTTCACTCCTCATGGGTAGGATGGGGCTCACAATGGTACATATCCCACAGGGATGATATGTAAAGGGCTAAGTCATGTACAGTTGACCCTTGAACAACACAGGTTTGGACTTTGAGGGTCCACTTATATGCAGACTTTCTTCAATAGATACATACTACAGTCCTACACAATCCTTGGATATGGAACCTTGGATACAGAGGGGTGAACTGTAAAGTGTTATATGCTGATTTTCAACTGTGCAGAGGATCAGTACCCCTAACCCCACATTGTTCAAGGGTCAGCTGTACATGTAAAGTGCTTAAACTGTGTGTGGCACTTAGTGAGTCCCTATTAAACTTAGCTCTTTCGTTTTTGCAAAGTCAGTCACTGAGCTATAATCTATTTAGCATCCTCAGAATCCTTGATCAAGCCTTGAAACAGAATAACTTTCCTCTTTTCTCTTCTCCCTAATAAATACTACGGTATGTAAAAAATAAAAATGCTATTGTGCAATAATTTGGCACGAGGCACCATCTATATTAATTTCCTAAGGATTTCTTATGCAGTAGGTTGCTGTACTTCTATTAGAGGACCAAGTCCTGTGTTTATGTAAATATACTTTGTGTGTAAGTATATGAATTCAGAATGTTTAGAAACTCAAGAGAAGGATTCAAGGCCTCCAGTAGCTGTTCTTATAATAAGCCCTTATTTCTTGATATTTCTCAAAATTGACACTGCAATTATTAAATAGATATATTCGCTTGCACACAGTTAGATCATAGTTTATAATTATTAACAAATATTCATGGATCAGTTACAGATTTATAAAAATACAAAATATATTGAGGGTTGGGGTAGAATCAGTATTCATTTTTCTCCCCCTTACTCTCTTCCATCCTGTTTGAAAACTTTCCTGGGACATACACTCAGGAGCAGAATTGCTTTGTACATTCTACTAATATACATTATACTAATCAGCTTATTGGTTTTAGAGATTAAAAATACCTCATCCCATATTGTCAACTACCTATTAGCTTATTCTATGTGGTGTCTTCTACTGAGTAGAATTTTAATTTTGATGTAATAAAATTAATTAAGTTTTTAATTCTGGTCGAGGTGGAGTAAGCACACTTTGCCCTACCTCTCGCTCTGAATGGAAGTAAAAATCCTGAACAGAATGCACACAGCAGTTGATTGCCTGATTTAAAAGAATAATTATAACATTCTACATAGAATTTAAATAAGACCCAGAGTCAACAACAGCTATAAACTAAAATCTGTTTTAGCTGAGTCACATGTATTTGATGTATATTGCCATTCAGTTCTAAATATCTCTTAATTTCCTTTATCACTTACAGCAGTTTGATTATGATATGTCTGGTGTGGAATTCTTTGAGTTTATCTTACTTGGGATTCACTCAGTTTCTTGAATCTATAAGTTTGTGTCTTTTGCCTAATTTGGAGAGTTTTCAACCATTATTCCTTCAAATAGTTTTTCTGTACCACTCTTTTTCCTCTCCTTCTGGGACTCTGAAGACATGAATATTAGGTCTTTTTCATATTGTCACACAGTCCCTTGAGAATGTGTTCATTTTTTTCTTCAATCTCTATTCTCTCTGAATTGTTCAAATTGGATAATTTCTATTCCTCTATCTTCAAAATTCAATGACTCTTTTCTCTGTCATCTCTACTCTGCTCACTGAGTCCATTCAGAGAATTTAAAAATTTTTAGTTATTGTAGTGTATTTTTTCCTCCTAAAATTTCCATTTGGTTCCTTTTTATATTTGCTATTTCTCTGCTGAGACTTTCTATCTTTCCATTTGTTTCAAACGGATTCACTCTCATTTATTGGAGCATGGTTATGATGGTTACCTTAAAGCTTTTGTCTGATAATTCCAACATCTTTTTCATCTCAAGATTGATATCTGTTAATTTTCTTTTTTCTCATAAGGTATTGAGATTTTCCTGGCTTTTCAAATGTCAAGTAATTTTGGATTGTGTCTGGGACATTTTGAATATTATGTGACTCTGGGTCACATGAAGAGTTTGGTACTGGTCTCTGCCAGCCTCTTGATTACACTTAAATATCTGAGAATTATTTTCTAGCTTTGAATTATTTTACATAGAATTGCTTATATTTCACCAATTCTGCTTTAGTAGAGTCTTCATGGGGAATTTTTTATTCAGGAGAGCTCAAATTCTACATCTTGAGATCTAGGTCTATATGATTTTTTTTAATGGAAGAATCATTGTTCCTTATTGTTCTGCTTGTTTCTTATATTTTAGCACATTAATCTGACAATTTCGGTCTGATAGGTGTTTTACTTTCCATGAACACTAAACTCCCCGTTTTCATATTTACTTAACTTCTTTCTCATCCTTTTTAAGAGTTTTAAAAATCAATGATTTTTTTCTATTCCATTTTAAAACTCTTAAAAAGGATGAGAAAGAAGTTAAGTAAATTCTATTTACCATTTTTCTTCATTTCTTGATAGAGTCAATATGCTAGTATATATGTACTTTGCATTCTTAGCTGACTTTGCATCTAACAGATTTTTCTGAAGCTGTTTAATGTTGCCTGCTGCTTTTTGGACTCTGGCTTTTAATCTGACAGTTTCAGCCTCAAGGAGTTTATCTGTGTTTGATGCAGAGGGAGAAAGGAGAAAAACAATTTGTGCATACTTTTGATTCTGGAGTTCTCTTTCCCAGTTCTCCCATTGCTTTCTCCTTTGCGGTGGCTCTCTCTAGAGATATGTAATCAGCTCATTAGAAAAACACTTGACTTTTAGCAACTTAGTTGTGTAAATGTGAAGTTGACACATGTTGAAACTCAAGGTTCTAGAACTCTTGCTTAGTAATGAACTACTCTTTAATCAGACTACTAAAAGTGGGTATTATTGAATTTCATGTGAAAACTACAGTTCAACTTTATGAGTTGGCTTGCTTCACTGGTGAAATTATAATGTCCATGACATTTTAACTTATGCTGTCAAAAAGGTAATCCTTTTTAGAAACTCTTTTAGCTCTTTAAAATAATAAATTTTTCATACAACTGAGTAAATAACAGTCACTTCAAGTGTGCCTTTCTGTAACTACCTGAAATCATTTTGCTGACCTTTCACATGAAACATATGTTGTGCCTAAAATGAACATTTTAACATAATTTCATAACATTACCTAACATAATCTGTGCACTGGTTATTTAACTCTCTTAATTTCCATAGAGAAAATTTTAGAAAATATCATCTACAAGAATAAAGAAAAGCTATCACTTTCAAGAGGATTGGAGTATGTATCATCCATTTCTGGGCTACACATATTCATTGACCTGAAAATCCTATATGAGCATCTTATATTCTTAGATACTTCGATATCACTGTTACATAGTACTAGAATCCTATAAAGAAATAGGGCAAGGTAAGATAATCAGTAAGTAGCATTCAGAGATTATGGGTCATATACATTAATTTTAGTTGTGTGTTTAAAATCTGGCCATGTCATGTGCCACTCCCCAGGGCAAGAAGAGTGCAGGAAGGAGGGGGTGCTCGTACACTCTCTTTCCTGATCATGCTCTGGGACCACAATGCCAGTGTGCACATCCTTAAGCCTGAGGGTTTGGTAAGGATGGCTGTTTAAGGGGGATGGAACTTGGATAAATGAACTGAGGTGAGCACTTGTTTATGTGTGTGTGTGTGCATGCATGCGTGTACACGTATGTAAGGTCAGTGGAAGAGGGAGCTGAGGGCTGGAACTCAGCACAGTTCATAGCATTGTACAGATGATGAATGAATTTTATACCTGTTTAAAGTTAAGAACTAATAAAAACAAAGTGGTTTTCCACTTTCATGGAGGTGCCAGTCTCATAAGGAAGATAAGATATCTTAATGTAAAATGATAAACCAGCAATTCAAGGCAATATAGGATAATATTAATCCCTAGCACCTACTGAGTGTTTCCAGTGTTAAAAAACACTGCATGTATTTTCTTACTTAATCCTCACACAAACTCAATGAAATTGGTTCTATTATTGTTCCTATTTTAAAATTAGGAAATTGAGGCTTAGGTCAATCTAAGTCACATAACCACTGAGTGGCAGAGCCTGGATTAGAACTTAGATCTCATACTCTGCAACTTCTTAGCCTCTACCACTTGCTTCCTTGTGTTGCAGAGAAAAGAAATGAGTCATGGTGAGCTGGAGAGAACAGAGAAGGTAAAAGATGGGACCCAGAATTGGTTCTGAAAAAAGTGCTGATGCTATTGGGATGATATTGGAAAAATCAGAGAGTGTTAGCAAAATATGAGTCAAAGAAAACACCATTAAAAAAAAATCTCTCTCCCCCCCCAAAAATAAATAAAAATTAAAAATAATCTCTCTTCATCTCTCCATATGAATAGTTCTTTTTTCTTTATAGGATCCATTAGAAATGCAAGATGAAAGAACAATCAAGTTTCAAAACTAGAATGAAAAGTCCTTTCACCGGGAATGTTGGGCTCTGTGAAGGACAGGCATAAGGCTTTAGATATAAAAAATCCTTCTTTAAATGACATAGCATAGAGTTTTATTTCTCAAAGCGGGAGTATATACTGAAGAATTGTGCCATACCTCCTCTAGGTCAATGGTCAACAGCAGGTGAGAGTAAATCACTCCTTTCTCTTACAAGCATTTCTTTTATGTGAAGACTTTTACTTTCAGACTCTTAAACTGCTGCAATGGGGCCATTGGGTTCTCTTTGTTCCTTACTGTTAAATTCTGAATATTATGTTTAACTCTAAATTCTACCTGACAGGTACCACCAAGAGAGCAGCACACCACCATCCAAGGACTCAACTCTTGGCCCTCCTTCAGACCTCAAGAAGCTGTCCCTTCATGGCCAAAGTGCCTGTCGACCCTTACCTACCCCCTCCAGGAGGAGCTGTCAGCCCACATCAGCCACTAGCAAGGCTGTCGGTGTGCCATTTTGCACCACAAACACAAAAGAACCCCAGGGACTTTCAGATCACAAAGACTCTCTAAGTGAAATCCCTTTCAAGTGCAGTGGGAACGGAAATGAGTTTTACTTAGGAAATTCCTCCCTGGCCTCCCCTTTACAGAGTAACCCAAACCTAGAGAAAAAGGAGTCAAAACTTCATTAGTACATTATTTCCACAACTTCATCAATATTTCTGCACTTAAAAAGTTCATGGAACAATTATGTTATAGTAAGTGTCCTCCTAAGTTAACCTTGACTTGAATATTGTTTTTTTTGCGGTACGCGGGCCTCTCACTGCTGTGGCCTCTCCCGTTGCGGAGCACAGGCTCCGGACGCGCAGGCTCAGCGGCCATGGCTCGCGGGCTCAGCCGCTCCGCGGCATGTGGGATCTTCCCGGACCGGGGCACGAACCCATGTCCCCTGCATCGGCAGGCAGACTCTCAACCACTGCACCACCAGGGAAGCCCTTGAGTATTGTTTTTTAGGGTAGGCTTCCCTGCTCTTCCTCCCCATTTTGGAAGTTTAACCTTCGAATTTAGTAATATTGTGCAAGACATAATGCACTGGACAATTAAGGATATGATTTTACCAGGCTATTGCAATAGGGAAAATGCTCATTAATGAGACATGTCTTCAAGAAAAGGAGATGGATCTGAGGTTTTATAGAGGCAGGTAATAAACAAGGGAGTCAGCAGTGAGTCTCATGGGAATCAATGAGGAAGGTTGGAGACAAGTCTTATCTTGGAATATTTGTGAGCAGGGTGGTCTTTCGCAGTTAGCTGGGGTGATTTCTCAACCATTCTGCTTTCAGAGACCAGGGAGCTCAGATAAAGTTCAACAGTATCAATATGTTTCTGTATTTCTTAGCTGTGTTATTGAAAGTAGGTTAGTGGGAGTTTTTGACTTAAAAAAAAAAAAGCACAACATGAGATTTGTGAGTTAAGTTTTATTTGGGCAAAACGATGACTATAGCTCGGGAGACAGCATCTCAAATAGCTCTGAGAGGGCTTCCCTGGTGGCGCAGTGGTTGAGAGTCCGCCTGATGCAGGGGACGCGGGTTTGTGCCCCGGTCCGGGAAGATCCCACATGCCGCGGAGCGGCTGGGCCCGTGAGCCATGGCCGCCGAGCCCGCGCGTCCGGAGCCTGTGCTCCGCAACGGGAGAGGCCACAACAGTGAGAGGCCCGCGTACCGTAAAAAAAAAAACCCAAAAAACAAAACAAATAGCTCTGAGAAACTGCTCCAAACAGGTGGGGGGAAGGTCAGTATATATATGATTTTGGTGAAAGGGGAGTACATGCAATCAAGCACATATTTTTTGCAGAAGGTTTCTGCTAGTCTTGTGAAGGTTACTGCTCGTCACGAGGAACAGACGTCATGAAGGATTTTAGTAGTGCTTTTCTAGATATGAGGAGATACAAGAACTGGGCTCATAAAATCGGCTCCTGAAAATATCTAACTATCTGAAGACCTGTTCTGCCAGTTTTTCCCAGAGCGCAGCACGCCTCCTTTCTGCGCTCCACCCTGAGCTCCTTCCAGGGGGTGTTGAAGGTCAGCAGCTGCAGCAGCTCATGATGTAATCCTTGTAGAGGCAGATGGCAAGTGCCGGTGGCAAGTGCCAATTTGTAGTTGACAGACTCATTGTCATAAGATCAGATAATTTTATAGAGATCACCTGGTCTATGTCCCTTATTTTATAAATGAGGAGACTGAAGCACAAAAATTCTAAGTGACTTACTCAACATTATATAATAAGTGTAGGGGCCGAGTCAGAACTCCCATTTAGGGATCTTCTTATAACATCAGAATCAGTTTTAAAATAAGCAATTTATTAAAAGAATAGTATGACCCTTTTTACTTATCTTCAGTGATACATAATTTTTATTATTGATCTTCCCACATAATAATATTAAGAAGTATGAAAGACTGTTTTCACTCAGAAGAAGCTAGGAAGGAGGGGGTTTTATAAGTGGCCAAAAATTGTGAAAGATTGCAAGACAACTCTCATTTTTTTCTCATAGCACAGTTTAGAATGTTATTGTTTAAATTAAATGTTAAATGTTTAAAATTCCTCTCTAAAATTTTAAACCGCTTTCTCCAAATTAAGAATGTAAGTGAATCATGAATAGAGGGAAAATCCTGATCTATTAAAAGAAAGCTTCATATGTTCTAATAGAAAAACCACAATTTAATTGACTTCTAAAAATCTACCTAAATATTTCAAAATAACTGTTTAACTAACTCCCAGTTTTAAGTACTACTTTTAAATTCTGCAGCAAAGGCATGGATGGGGTAAGTCAGATAGGCCAATTCATAGCCCTTCTGATACTATAAGCAATAACAAACAACTAATGTGTAGTGTTATTATTGGTAGGAACTGTTCTGATGCTTTCTGTATATTAACTCATTTAATCTGTACAACAGTCCTACGAGGTAGGACTGTTATTCTCATCTCATAGATGAGGAAATTGAGGCACAGGGAAATTAAATGATATATTCAAGGTTGTACAACTAATATAGAGCTGGGATTTGAACCCAGACAGTCTGCTTTTTTTTTTTTTTCCATGACCACTGAAATAATGTGGATGGAGGGGGGTTATCTTTATGAGTTGTCAGATATTATCATTGAAAACAATGTTCTGGGAATTCCCTGGCAGTCCAGCAGTTAAGACTCCGCGCTTCCACTGCAGGGGGTGTGGGTTCTATCCCTGGTTGGGGAACTAAGATACCGCATGCCTCGCGGTACAGGCAAAAAAACCCCAATGTTCTATCCCTTGAAGGATGAAAAATGAGTAAGCAAATATTTCATATATAAATGATGAATCTATCAGGTTAGCATTCATTCTAGTGAGAATAAGATATTAACAATATAAACATTTTAAAAGTTGTGACTTTTTGTGACATTGTTGAAGTCTTTCATTAGGTTGGTCACCTTTGGTTAGTCTTGGCTATCTTCATAAATTTTAGGAAATGGACAAAAAAAATCTCCTAAATCTGTCAGAATTATCTTGGGTAATTGCTCTCTTGTGCCTTGAGATTTCTTTCATGTTGAGGTATGGATAAATGCTCCTGGGAAAAGGAATTAGACATCTTAACTCTCTGTATACTTTCAGGTAAAATTAACCTAAACCATCCAGTTAGAAATTAGCACTCATTCTGATTTTAAAGGTTTCCAAAGAGTTGTCCTTGTCAGTAACCCATTTTATCTGTAACTTTCACCAAAAGTAATTACATCTGCGTTGTTTAGCATCTCAAGTTCTACAAAGACAAAATATGGCAATTCTTTGCCCTTCATACATTGTGGAATAACTGCTAGAAAGCTAAATAACGAATATCCTCAAATTAAAATTCTAGATTTAAGGCAAGCATAAACATTTGGAGAGAAAAAAAAGGCAGCTTTTTTTTAAACATAAAGCAATGACAAAAATAGTAAGAAAAAGTACATAATTCCCCCCTACACACACACCCACCACCCTACTCTTATTAAGGAATAAGACAGGAGTTGTTTGGAGTTGTAAATCAGCAACATTTCAGAAATTCCTTCTGACCTGTCTGTTAAGCCTCAACATAAATAAAAAATTATTACACTACATGCCAATTTGTTTCAAGACCCAGTATGAGCGGGAAGCGGCAGCACTAAAGATTTAAGGAAAAAATAACCCCATTAATGGGGGAATAGTTAACAAAATTATTGTATATCTCGGCTATGTAATACTGGGTAATCATTATTAAAAAGACTGAAGTAAATCTATATACATAGACATGAAAAACTGTCCACCATATATTAAGTGAAAAATAATCCAGATTAATATGTGATATGATGTAGCTAGTATTAAATACATATTATAAAAATATATCATCTAACATGTAAATATTATAAATGTATATGTTATAATTAACATGTTGTTATATGCCTGAAAGAATATAAACCAAACCAACAACAGTAGGGTGTTTTGAATATTGAGACAGAAAGGGTAGGGAGAGATAGGGAACTTTTATCATTTACTTTTCATTTCTGTACTGTTTGATTTTGATAGATTATTCTATTTTATAATGAACAAATGCTATGTTTAAAACTTTAAAAAAACTATATAAGGAAAAAATTCCCTGTAGTATTATCAAATATTGGAATGAGTTACAAATCATGTACTGTAGAAGGGATTAAAGAATAGATATATGATATTGACTAAAAGTAGTGGGAATTGATTTTTCAGTAAACAAAAATTCTAACTATTCCCACTTTTTTTCTCTTTCAGAAAGCTACTCTTTTACAAGATCCCCTATATGTTAGTGAGCTCATTCCTGCTACTGGAAGTCAAAAGCCATATAGGTAAGGAGTGATGACAGGACAGAGTTGCACGGGGGGGGGGGGGGCGGTGTTCGCCCTCTTTGCCTCTCCTAACTCTATGTGATGCTGACCATCACATTTATATCTACATCTCTTCTTGCCCTGAATTGCAAAGACAATTACCCACTGGATATCACTTCTTGTATGTTTCACAGGAGCCATAACGTCAGCATATTCAAAACAGAACTCAGCCTCTTCCTTCTGTGACCTGACCTTCCATCTGTGTTTCCTAAACAGGGCATGATGTCATTATCTCTAGACAGCCTAAGCCAGAGTCCTGGATCCCGAGATCCCCATCCCCTAATCCAGTCATCACCACATGATTTACTGTACTTATTGAATATATCTGGATAACACCCACTTCTTTCTACTGCCACATGCTCAGATCCAATTATCTGTTCTGGGCTCTGACAGTATTTTCCTGGCTGGCCTCTGCCTTCACTCTTGCCCCTCTCTAGACCATTCTTCAATACAACAGAGGAATCTTTCAGAAGTACAAACGTGATCATGGAACTCCTCCCTTAAAGTCTTTCCATAGCTCCCCATTGCCCTTAGAAGGTGTACACTCTATAACAGCTTTTTACAAATCTTCCTGATGTCTCTATTTTTCTATTGTGTCCTCCACACTCTTGCCCTAAGCTCCTGATCCAAATGAACTCATAGCTCTCAAAGAGCTCCCTGTTAATCTGGGCCCTAACGTGATGGCCTCTATTCTAGAACACTACTCTCTTCTCTTCTTCCCCTTCATAGAAACTTCAACTCCTCAAGTCTTACCTCACTATCCCTTTGTCTAAAAATCATTTCTCAAGACTAAGTTAAGAGGGCCCCTCCATAACGTCCTGTGCTTACATATCTGTAGCACTGTCCACTCTGTATTATGGATTGCTTGTTTATGTGCTGCCCTATTATGCAGTATGCTCCTTAAGGGCAGGGACTGTTCCTTGGTCACTGGCACATAGTAGGCTGCCAATAAGCCTTTATACAATGAATGAATGAATGAAATAAGATAGAGGCTGGGACCTTATATGCAAGGCAAAGGAGTTTGGATTTTATCCAGACTTCATAGTTCTATTATGTTCTTATCATAGTCAGCCTTACACTGAAGTAGTTACTTGTGATGTGACGATTACTTCCAATAGATTGTGAGCCCCTGGAAGGCAAGGAGTATGTCTTATTAATTTTCGTATTTTTCTTACTTAAAACAGTGCTTTGTACTTAGAGAGCACTCTGTCAATTGATGGTGCCAATAATTTTGATATTAAGTAAGTCATGAGTGACTTTTGAGAGGTTTACGATAGTGACGTATATTAGAGGTGATGTAAGTGAACTAAGGGAAAGTTTAATTTTAAAAGATACAATTCATTCCCCATTAAAGGGAACCACAGTTCCTTGGAAGAATGACTGATTCTAGGTCTGGGGTAGGAAATATACAAATGAGTCTGAAACAGCTTGTGGCAAAATGCAAAGAGTAACAGGGCTCAAACTAAAGGACACAGGAGCCCACATGAAGGGCCTCCTGATAGCCAAAGATGGAACAAATCAAGAATCAGAAAAAATAATGAATGAGATGGTTAAAACATAACGAATATATAAAAATTCCAAAGTGTATAATGATGCATCATAGAGAGAAAGTCCTCCCTCCTACCCTCCCCCACCCGGTTAAGAAATAAAAATGTACTGAACTCCATTAGAAGTAAATAGGGCACTAATTCATTTTTCTGCAAATCAGCAAACAAATGGAAAGAATTAAGCATTTATCCTGCCTTTCCTGCATAAACTGTAATTAGTTCAGGGTAACCAAGTAGCCCAAGTTGATGAGAGCAAATTCCATTTTACAGAATTCCAGCTAATGAATGTGGGAGGTTTAACAGAATTAGAAAGTTACCATTTTTTAACCTCTGATGAAATAATAGATTCATGCAAAGATCCTCAGTGGATGGAACCATCAGACAGAAAGGTGAAGTGGAATTTCAAAATGGAGGGATCATGTAAATAACTAAACACTGATCAGTCTTAGAATCACTTAAGTGGGATGCTATAATGGAGCACTTAAAAATTATACAATGCCTCATTATTTGATGTAACATGAAACACATAGCACCACCTATGACATATCTTTGTTCAAACAATTAAACTGGAATCTGACTTAAAAGTGTGGGTGTGTCAGCCTTGAGAAGGAATGAAATTCTGATACATGTGACAACATGGATGAGGCTTGAAGAAATTATGCTAAGTTAAATAAGCCAGTAGTAGAAGGACAAATATTATATGGTTCCACTTATATGAGGCACCTAGAATAGGCAAATTCACAGAAACAGAAAGCAGAATATAGGTTACCAGGAGCCATGGAGAGACAGGAATGGAGACATTGTTTAATGGATGCAGAGTCTGTTTGGGAAGATGAAAAAGTTCTGGAAATGGATAGTAGTGACGATTGCACAACACTGTGAATGCACTTAATGCCGTTGAATTGTACACCTGAAAATGGTTAAAATGGTAAATTTTAGGTTATGTATATTTTATCTCAAAAATTTAAAAGGTGTGTGTGTGTGTGTGTGTGTGTGTGTGTGTGTGTAAGGGAATAGATAAAACAAGACTGGCAAAATGTTGAAAATTACTGAAGCTAAGTGATGGGTATGTGAGGGTTTCTTATAAGACTTTCTCCATTTTTGTGTATGTTTGAAAATTTCCGTAGTAGAAGTTTTAAAAAGATCTAAGAAACGTAGCAAGCAAATATAGCAATTATCTTATTTAGATCTTGGTTTTAATGAACCAAATATAAAAAGGCATTTTTAAGACAAGAGAGAACATTTGAATATGGACTAGGTATTAGACAATACCATAGAATTATTGATAGGTTTGTTGGTGTGATAACGATGATTTTGCAAGGAAATGTTCCAGTTATTTCGAGATACGTTCTGAGTTATGTAGGGGTTAAATAACATAATGTTTGGGATTTCCTTTTTTAAAATTAATTAATTTGGCTGTGCCGGGTCTTAGCTGCGGCACTCGGGATCTTCGTTGCAGCATGCAGGCTCTAGTTCCCCAACCAGGGATGGAACCCGGGCCCCCTGCATTGGGAGTGTGGAGTCTTAACCACTGGACCACCAGGGAAGTCCTGGGATTTCTTTTTTTTTCTTTCTTTTTTTAAAAGTTATTTTATTTTTGGCTGCGTTGGGTCTTTGTTTCCGCATGAGGGCTTTCTCTAGATGCGGTGAGTCGGGGCTACTCTTTGTTGCGATGCACGAGCTTCTCATTGCAGTGGCTTCTCTTGTTGCGGAGCACAGGGTCTAGGTGCACAGGCTCAGTAGTTGTGGCGCACAGGCTTAGTTGCTCCGCGGCATGTGGGATCTTCCTGGACCAGGGCTTGAACCTGTGTCCCCTGCATTGGCAGGCGGATTCTTAACCACTGCACCACCAGGGAAGCCCAGTCCCGGGATTTCTTTTTTTAAAAGATGATTATACAGATAGCTTAGAATTTCTACCTGTTTTCTTATGTTTATTCTAAAAAAAAGTATCAGTTTTAATTTTGGTACTATATTATATAAAGTGATTTTAAAGCTAATTGTATAATAAAAACAGGCTCTTACTTTGTGTGGCTTGAAATTTATCCCTGAAGGCAAGGAGAGTTCTGCCACTATCCTGACTCAGGAAAAGCATATTTCTTGTAAAGTTAATTTCTGAAGGCAACATATTTAAAGTGTAGTAATTTAATGCACCATGAAGGATGCAAATATATGCACAAGATACATAGGAAATAGTCTGTGCCTACAAGGCACCTTCAGTTTATTAATTAATTAATGTATTTTTGCTGTGTTGTGTCTTCGTTTCTGTGCGAGGGCTTTCTCTAGTTGTGGCAAGCGGGGGCCACTCTTCATCGCAGTGCCCGGGCCTCTCACTATCGTGGCCTTTCTTGTTGCGGAGCACAGGCTCCAGATGCGCGGGCTCAGTAGTTGTGGCTCACGGGCCCAGCCGCTCTGCGGCATGTGGGATCCTCCCAGACCAGGGCTCAAACCCGTGTCCCCTGCATAAGCAGGCAGATTCTCAAGCACTGCGCCACCAGGGAAGTCCTTCAGTTTAAAAGAAGAAAATATTCTTTGGGTTTTCAAATTAGGATTTTGTCACAGTTGTGAGTTCTGTAATCTGACCATTGTGAACATATACACAGAGCTTCTGAGATAATGTATGAAAAACCATACCAGCTGTAAAGCATTATTCAAATGTAAGGTATTACTGATATTAAATGTCTGGAAAAATGAAAAAAATAGTAAAAATAGAGCTTATCATTAAATCAGTAATCCTCCTGCTACATTATTTGCATGAATTTGTTTTCTAGCTCATGAAAATACAGAATATCTATTAACATTAATGTAAAATTTCCTCTTATTCCTAAGTTGAATAATGGATTCTTCTGGCCTAGACGTTTTCTTTTTCTTTTTTTTTTTTTTTTTTGCGGTACGCGGGCCTCTCACTGTTGTGGCCTTTCCCGTTGCGGAGCACAGGCTCTGGACGCGCAGGCTCAGCGGCCATGGATCACGGGCCCAGCCGCACCGCGGCATGTGGGATCTTCCCGGACCGGGGAACGAACCCGTGTCCCCTGCATCGGCAGGCGGACTCTCAACCACTGCGCCACCAGGGAAGCCCTAGACTTTTTCTTATTTAAATTAGTCAAAGAAAGTTTGTCATCTGTGTAAAAGCAAATATTCTCTGAATGTTCAGAGAAACTGTGATTATCCATAACTTCTCTGTAGAAATATAGGCTACTGAATCTAACTTGAATTTATGAGGTATATGAGACCTCAATTTATATATTAATTGATTTTTAGTATGAAGAGATTAGTGTGCTTTTTCTTATGAAATTTGTTTTGAACTTTTTGAAAAAAATATAGTTTGATATTATTATAATCTTTTGGCACCTATGATATCATAGGTGCCAAAAGATAAAAACAGTTCCTTTCTACATGGATCTTAGCAAATTGCTGATGCCTAATGGAAAAAACTGGAAAATCAATTTCAAAATAATTGTGCTGATATTGTATTTTTTCTGGGCTTCTGCTTTTCTAAGCTCATTTCTTTGTGAAAACTACATTTCTGCTGTTTTTTGGAATTCTCAGAGAATAGAGGGATTTTATGGGTTTTTTTTTTAACATCTTTATTGGAGTATGATTGCTTTACAATAGTGTGTTAGTTTCTGCTTTATAACAAAGTGAATCAGCTATACATATGCATATATTCCCATTTCTCCTCCCTCTGGTGTCTCCCTCCCACCCTCCCTATCCCACCCCTCTAGGTGATCACAAAGCACTGAGCTGATCTCCCTGTGCTATGCGGCTGCTTCCCACTAGCTATCTATTTTACATTTGGTAGTGTATATATGTCCATGCCACTCTCTCACGTAGTCCCAGCTTACCCTTCCCACTCCCCTATGGTTATTTTTCAAATGAAATGTGGCAGTAGTTAGAAATGGATGTATAGGGAAGCAAGATCTCAAAGCTTACTCCTCTGTTACTTAGATAACATTTATTAAACACTTACTGTGTGCTAAGCACATGAAGTAACTAAAGTATCAAAAGAGCACAATGGGATAGGTACTATCATCATCCCCATTTTACACATGAGGAAACTGAGGCACAGAAAGACTAAGAAACTTGCCCATGGTAGTTACTCAGAGGAGCAGGGGCAGATCTAGGATATTGATCAGCCTGTCTGACACTGCCCCTATGCTCATAATCATGTTCTTCTGCCCTCATGACTGTTATCACTGAATTCTTTCATTTTTTTAACTCAAGTTCAGCTGATTTACAATATTGTATGTTTCAGGTGTACAACATAGTGATTCATAATTTTTAATGATTATACTCCATTTATAGTTATTATAAAAATTGGCTATATTCCCTGTGCTGTACAATATATCCTTGTAGCTTATTTATTTTTAATATTTTATTTATTTATTTATCTATTTATCTATTTATTTATTTTGGCTGCACTGGGTCTTAGTTGAGGCACGTGGGATCTTTTAGTTGCAGCATGCAGACTTCTTAGTCGTGGCATGCGGACTCTTAGTTGCGGCATGAGAACTCTTAGTTGCGGCATGCATGCGGGATCTAGTTCCCCGACCAGGGATTGAGCCCAGGCCCCCTGCATTGGGAGCATGGAGTCTTACCCATTGGACCACCAGGGAAGTCCCTATTTATTTTATTTTATTTTTTATAAATTTATTGATTGATTGATTGATTTTTGGCTGCGTTGGGTCTTTGTTGCTGTGTGCGGGCTTTCTCTAGTTGCGGCGAGCGGGGGCTACTCTTCATTGCGGTGTGTGGGCTTCTCATTGCGGTGGCTTCTCTTGTTGCAGAGCACGGGCTCCAGGCGTGCAGGCTTCAGTAGCTGTGGCACTTGGGCTCAGCAGTTGTGGCTTGCAGGCTCTAGAGCGCAGGCTCAGTAGTTGTGGCACATGGGCTTAGTTGCTCCGTGGCATGTGGGATCTTCCCAGGCCAGTGCTTGAACCCATGTCCTCTGCATTGGCAGGTGGATTCTTAACCACTGCACCACCAGGGAAGTCCCCCTATTTATTTTATATATAGTAGTTTGTACCTCTTAATGCCCTACCTCCAGCTTGCCCCTCTCCCCTTCCCTCTCTTCACTGGTAACCACTAGTTTGTTTTCTAGATCTGTGAGTCTGTTTCTTTTTTGTTATATTCACTAGTTTGTTGTATTTTTTAGATTCCACATATATGTGATATCATACAGTATTTGCCTTTTTCTATCTGACTTATTTCAATTAGCATAATGCCCTCCAAGTCCATCCATGTTGTTGCAAATGGCAAAAGTTCATTCTTTTTTATGGCTGAGTAGTATTCCATTGTGTATGTATACCACACCTTCTTTATCCATTCATCTGCTGATGGGTACTAAGGTTGCTTACATATGTTGGCCGTTGTAAATAATGCTGTTATGTACATTGGGGTGCATGTCTCTTTTCGAATTAGTATTTTCATTTTTTTTCAGATAGGTACCCAGGAGTGGAATTGCTGGGTCATATGGTAGTTCTATTTTTAGTTTTTTGAGAAACCTCTATACTGTTTTCCATAGTGGCTGTCCCAATTTACAGTCCCACTAACAGTGTACAGAGGTTCCCTTTTTTTCCACATCCTTGCCAACATTTGTTATTTGTGGTCTTTTTGATGGCTAAGACTGAATTCTTAACGATCATCTCCTCCAGTATCTCCACTAGAAAAGAGGCTTTTTTCAGGAAGTTTTAATTTTTGCGTTAATAAGAGAGGTTCATTGATTGCATAGAGGAGAGCATCTTAGAATTTTTTTAAATAAAGGGGGAAGGAGTGGGCAAGAACCAAGACTCCATGTAGCATTACTGGAATAAATGGCTGGTATCAAGATTTGTGGAATAAGTGGTAAAAATATTTTTACTTCAAGTCAGAAATTCTAAGACATTTCCATCAACCCACATATGTTCTGTTACTGTTACTTTGCACCCTGCTTCTCTGAATCACTGGTTGTGTTAGCTTGGACAGGCTACTTAACATCCTATAAATGCGATAGTAATTCCCAGCTCAGCCCTCCTAGTGACGCTGAATGAGCTAGCCCATGAAGAGAACCCAGGCCAGACCCCGCCATAGAGTCAGTGCTCAATTAAGTACAGGTTGTTATTATTGAGCACAGTGGGAGATGGAAACAGTATCTAACCTGATAATGTGTTTTCAAGTTGCTGCAAAGCTGAGGGGCCAGGACAAGTACACAAATAACTGCAATGGAGTGAAGTAGGATTAGTGTGGTGTAAGAAGTATGGAAAAAGTGCTATGGGAGAGGGTTCCCCATCATTGGTAGAATTAGGGAAAGCTCTGAGAAGAAGGTGTTAACTCATTTTAGCTAAGCCAGCTTTTCCTGAAGTGTGGAACACACATGGGGCAGTAATGGAAGATGACTTCATGTGGTATTCTGACATGGCATGAAATAACTTTGAATTCCATGGTAAAAAATGATTCCCTTTTCCAATTCGTCTGACCTCATTAGGGAGAACCTCTTGGCTTGGTGCCAGTAGTGGCAGCTCTCAAACACATGCTCATATGCCTTTTTGTCAAAGGGAGAGCAGACTTCAGGCTCAAAATAGGGAGCATCTACTTAGAATTTTGTTGCTATTTTTGGTTACGTGCTATTTATAGCAAATGGTACTGGTTTTCCCATGTGAAGTAGTGATACAAAATTTTCTGTATAAAAAAATTTCTCTAAGAAAAAATGAGTTGATTTAAAGAAAAAATACTAAGCAAATAATATTACATATGATTCGTGGGTTATGGTAAATAGTATGTGAACAAACTCTGTGCTGGACTATGAAAGAGGGACAGAAGTTTACCAGGAACAATGAGAGTATTCATGATATGTACAGCTTGAGTAAAGGGGCATGGCAAAAAAGTATGTTTGGAGATTAATAAATAGTTCAATTTGGAAGGAGCAAGTTTCATTACTGATAAGTAACAAAGCTAGAAGTACAAAACTATATTAAAATTCAGTTAGTAACAAAGTTTTACAGACCTAGCAATAATCGTTGATATTCCTCAACTGCTGTTTATTATTTTTTCCATGGAAAATTTTCTTTTCTTTTTGTATATCTGAGGAGAAAATTAAGCACTTCAGTCAACTTAAATCTGAACTTTTTCTTAAAGACAATACTTTGAGGAAGATACTTTGTTTAATTACAGAACTTAAAGTAGCAGCCCCGAAAAACTTCATTCTGAAAAGGCTTTTCTGGAAAGTAGTTGTTTTGTCTTATTTTTAATCTTTAAAGCTTGTTTTACCTGTTTATCAAATGCAGCATATTCAATCTTAAAGTAAAATATAAATAAATGTTGTATACTGATGCTGCATTTTAAAATGCTCATTAAATTTAATGCAATCATCTTGATGCCTGAAATGTTGTGATGGAATCATTGTATATGGTGTGTTGGGGCCAGGGAGACAGAAGAGGGGAGAGCAGTAGGGAAAAGACAGTAGCTCACATGGGTTGGGTTAGCAGACACAAAAAAAGAGAGATCGAGGGGAAGCTCCTGGCATGCAAGAAGTATGAGTATGGACAGTGAGATGAGAAAGTACATTTCAAGAAGTCTTATGTGTATGTTCCCTTACAATAAAAATATAATTAAAAAGTTACTTTTGAATGTAGGATTGTTATTTTTTAAAAGGTGACTCCTGGGAAGTCAAAGCAGTCTAGCTCCCACTTGGCAAGTTATACACTTACTCTGTAAGACTGACTTGTAGTCTCAGGTTTAGGTGAAGGTATTGAGAAGCCCAGGTGAGTACTGGTGCTGTGCTAATGGGACTCATTCTGGTTAGTGGTCTTATACATAGTTGCCACCTTTTTATTGCACAGTTGGGAAGTGCACAGCTTCCCCAGCCATACCTGACAGTCTTGGCCATTTCTTAGATTCTAAGTGCTTGACACATCTGATGACCAACCATCCTGGTTTACCTAGACTAGGATAACAAACTGTCCCAGTTTGCCTGGGACCGAGGAGGTTCATGGCACTTGGGACTTTTAGTGCAAAAGGTAGACCAGTCCCAAGCAAATTGGGATGGTTGATCACCCTAATTAGAGGGCAGAGTAGCTACAGAGAATAGAGTATCAAGTGTCCCCAACATTGAGGCAGGTAAGGATGATGTAGTGCTGTATAATCAAAAATGCTTGAGCTAGATAGACACTGTTAGGAATACACCATCCAAGTTTTAACTAAAAAACTTCAGAGAATTATGGAAAATACAGGGACAGGCATCAACATGACTTACATATGGTTATGAAGAGTCCACATGGAAAGGCTAAAGAAATTGGTATTATCTCCCACCCAAATAAACCTCTCCAGTCCAACCTACATGGTGTTTACTCATCTATAACACTGATTGTGAGGACTTTGCTTCCTAAAAAACTTCTTGAGGTTCTCCTTATTAAGTACAAGCACTTTGGCTTTGGCATTTAAGGCTCTCCACTACTGATCTCTTGTCACAGATTCCAAGTTTGGACAGGCATGGCCTTTATTTTAGCAGGGTGGGTTATCAGGAAGGGGCCAACATCTGCATAGGGCAGCCACTGGGAAAACGAATCCAGCTGTAGATACTAAGGGAGAAGGCACAGTGCCCAAGGACGAGAGTGATCTCTACAAAGAGAATGTGCAAAATGAGAAATATCAGGGCATTATAGCATGTGAGTGGATTACACCCAGATGTCTGCATAAACATTTGGCACCAGGAAGATCTGCATGTTCAGGATTTGGGAACAGGGCCTTCATGGAATGTGGGGTTGGGGGGAGTAGCAACGATACAAAGTCAAGAGTAAAGTCAGTAGCTGGGAAAGGACTGGCAAAGGACTTAGCTCAGGGCCCAAAGAAGAGGTCCACCTAGACAACCTGGACACAATCAGGGGATTGATTTAAAGCAGATGTCTAGGCAGGAGAACAGAGCTACCACCTAAGGGTTAGACTCGGAAGAAGGGTGTTGATTGCTGAATACCAGAATGTTGGTCTTAAGCGTCTCCAATCTTAAAACAGGCCTGAAGCAGGTGGCCTCGGCTGTGGAGGAAAAGAGGGATGCAGAGAAAGGGAATAAAACCAGGTCTAGCCCACTCAACCCACCACTTCACCACTCTCACCTCTTTTCTGTAAAAGCTTGAACCATGGGAAATGATTGGAACACCCTGCCCTTCCCAGCCCCTCCACGTTTTCCCCTACTATTGCTCTCTAGGATACTCTTTCCATTTTCTCCTGTTAAAATCCTACCCATTCATTCTCCAAGGCTCATCTCAAATGCTGTTCTTTGCCTTTCCTCAATGGAGAACTTTGGTACCTTCCTCTTTTTGATCTGTTATGGCAGTTCTGTGCCTTAGAACTCTCCTTGATATTTTATAATCTGCACTGTTCAATAAAGTAGCCACCTAGCCACATGCGGCTATTAAGCACTTGAACATGGCTAGTGACCAAGGAAGTGAAACATTAATTTTATTCAGTTTTAGTCAATTTAAATGTAAATAACCACATGTGGCTAGCGGCTTCTGTATTGGACAATGCAGTTCTACAGCATCTCCCATAGCACTTTCTCTTTAACGATTCAATAAACATTTATCGCATGCCTATTCTGTGCTTGTAGTAATAGGCACTAGAAATGCAACCACGGCTAAGACACAGTCCCTACCGTCAAGAATTAGCACAGACATTCTCCCTTTTGCTTGGTATATATTTGTTATTTACCATAGTATTCTATAAGCTTCTTCAGGACAGGCATGTGTCATACTCATCTTTGTATTCTCCCTAAGGCCTAACATAATGCCTGCATATATCAGGTTGCACAATCAATTCATAATAAATTGAAATTTTATTCTCTTGTGAAAAATTAAACTGATTGGAAGTCTAGGAGTAAAGCATTCATGTTCTGCTTCTTACTTGAAAATTCTGCAGCCGTTCTTTAATGTAATATCCTTAGATGGACTACAATAGAAGATCTTCTAATTTAGTTGTCAAAAATGAAAGGTCAAAGTGAATAGAGAGGGAAATAAAAGGCACATGGGTAGTCTCCCTGTTTGGGGTCTTTCCCTACTTCAGTGGAGTATGTTGTGTCCCTCAGAGCTGGTAGCCTTATGTTCTCTCTCTAATCTGCAACCAAAATCTAGTCTCATATTCATTTACACAGAGTTAACAAATATGACTAGTAAAACTCAACATTTTAATCTTCTTTTAGGAGCTCTTTTATTTAAATGGTTATCATAGCCTTAAGCTAAAGCAGTGTTTTTTTCCAACTTTGTGCTGGGCTCCCTGCAGAATGTAAGTTTATGTGAAGCTCCCTTAAGAACCCACACTGGGGTGGGGAAATTAGAGGCAGCTTTAATTTTTGGTTCTTGGGTAAGAGGATGGGAAATTATACATATATATTTAAAAATTATAATAGGGGCTTCCCTGGTGGCACAGTGGTTGAGAGTCTGCCTGCCGATGCAGGGGATGTGGGTTCGTGCCCCGGTCCGGGAGGATCCCACATGCTGCGGAGCGGCTGGGCCCGTGAGCCATGGCCGCTGAGCCTGTGCGTCCAGAGCCTGTGCTCCGCAATGGGAGAGGCCACAACAGTGAGAGGCCCGCGTATGCAAAAATAAATAAATAAATAAATAAAGTTAATATAATGAATAACTATAGGCATATTCTTATAATTAATAATACAATTATTATAATTATATAATAAACAACATAATATTATATAATCATAATATATACAGTTGATCCTTGAACAACATTAGTTTGAACTGCTTGGGTCCACTTATATGTTGATTTTTTCAATAGTAAATACTAAACTACTACACGATCATGGTTAGTTAAATCCAAGGTGTGGAACCGCAGATATGGAGGGCTGACTGTAAGTTATACTCACATCCTGTGTTGTTCAAGGGTCAAATGTTTATCATTCTCCCTTTTAAAAATCAACTTCATTGGGGTATAATTTTCCTCTGTAGGTAATTTTTATTCTTCAATTTTATTACAAGAAAAATTTTTAATTACGAGAACACTTTTGTACAGGTTGACTAAACTGCAAGCTTTAGGAGTACAGACACCATGTCCAGTTTGTCAGTTTTGCTTAAGATGTTATTCTCATTACTTAGCATAGTGCATGCCACATGGCTGCAATCAATAGTTACATGTTCAATGAATGAATGAAAGAGTTCTCTAGACATGTTATTTCCCAACCATTCTTTATTTCTCCATGAAGTTTTTTTTCCCTTCAGTTTTTAAAAACTATGGTGAAATACATATAACATAAAATTTACCATCTTAACCATTTTTAAGTGTCTAGTTCAGTGTTAGGCACTCATGTTGTATATCTATCACCACCATCCTTCTGCAGAACTCTTTCCATCTTACAAAACTGAAACTATATTCATTAAACAACAACACCCCATTTCCCCTTCCCCCCAGCCCCTGGCAACCACCATTCCTCTTTGCGCTTCTATGAGTTTGACTATTCTAAATATCTCATGTAAGAGGAATTATACAGCATTTGTCATTTTGTGACTGGCTTATCTCACTTGGCATGATGTCTTCCAGATTCATTGATGTTATAGTATATGTCAGAATTTCCTTCATTTTAAGGTTGAATAATATTCCAGGTATGTAATACCACATTTTATTTATCCATTCATCCATTGATTAGCACTTGGGTTGCTTCCACATTTTAGCTACTGTGAATAATGCTGTTATGAACATGGGTGTGTAAGTATCTCTTTGAGACCCTGCTTTCAATTCTTTTGGGAGTATAGTTGGAAACAGAATTGCTAAATCATATGGTAATTCTATTTTTAATTTTTTGAGGCACCGCCATACTGCTTTTCACAGCAGCTATACCATTTTAAATTCCCACCAACAGTGCATAAGGGCTCCAGTTTTTCCACATCCTTGTTATTTACTGATTTTGTGTGTGTGTGTGTGTGTGTGTGTGTGTGTTACGCGGGCCTCTCACTGTTGTGGCCTCTCCCATTGCGGAGCACAGGCTCTGGACGCACAGGCTCAGCGGCCATGGCTCACGGGCCCAGCCGCTCCGCAGCATGTGGGATCCTCCCGGACCGGGGCACGAACCCACATCCCCTGCATCGGCAGGCAGACTCTCAACCACTGCGCCACCAGGGAAGCCCTTTACTGATTTTTTGATAGTAGCCATTCTAATGGGTGTTGGGGGTACCTAAGTATGCCCCACAACATGTTAGGTACCTACCTAATAGTTTTGATTTGCATTTCCCTAATGATTAGTGATGTTGAGCATTTTTTCCCATGCTATTGGCAATTTGTATATCTTCTTTGGAGAAATATTGGCATCCAATTTACATGTAATAAAGTGCACATATTTTTGAGTGCATTGTAAAGAGTTTTAACAAATGTATATATCTGTATAAACACCACCCCAGTCAAGACTGAGAACATTTCTATCACCCCTTAGGGCTACCTCGTGCCCCCTGGCAGTCAGTTTCCTCTGACCCCTGGCCTCACGCAACTATTGTACTTTCTGTCCTCATAGATTAGTTTTGCCTGTCCTAGAATTCCACTTACATGGAATTGTACACTATGTACACTTTTGTGTTTGGCTTCTTTTGACATAATATTTTTGAGACTCTTTCATGTTGTTGCTGGTAGGCGGAAGATATTTTATAAGTGAAAATTCCTGAACCACTGAGCGGTGGGAGATCACAATAATAACTGACATTTATTAAGCACATACAATATGTTGAGTACTGTTCAGGCTTTACAAATAATATCTTACTTAATCCTAACATCAACCTCATGAGGTGATTCTATTAATCCCATTTTAGAGATGAAAAGTCACAGAATGTATAAGTAATCTGGCAAATGTCCTACAGCTACCCAGTGGCAGAGCTGGTATTTGAACTCAAAGAACCTGGCTCCAGAGTCAGCGTGTAAAGTTACCACCCTCTGCAACCCCAGCACTCCTGAGAGGGCCAAGGTGTACATCCTGCTCCTTTTGTCCTTCCCTCTCTCCACTTGCCGTCCTCAGCCTCTTCTGAGCACACATATACCTGTCTAAACGAAAAGTCTAAGTTGCCACTAGTAAACGAAAGTGCTGGGAAAAAAATGAACAGTAGAGGAATAGAAAAGAGAAGCAATTATATCCTATTCTCATTAGTACCGACTTGCCTGATTTCATGGGCCTGTGCTTATTTTCATGCTCAATTATCTCATGAGACTGGACAGGAACACAGAAAAACTGGTTCCCACACTCTTAAGTCAGTGTTTATTTTGGCAGAAGTGGCAATCTACATTTCCACTGTATTAACAGAAGTATTAAAATCATTCTGCACCATCTTCATAGGCTATACCAGTGCTGTACATTTGTTCCTGAATTAGTAAACAGTTTTAAATGAGTGCTTTTCTAGCCATTATTTCCTTATGTCCTCACAAAGGCCAAATTACTTTGGAAAGGCAGGAAATATAGTGGCCCCCATTTAATATTATTATTCCAAGGTGACTGAATGACTGGCCTAACGTTATACACCTACTTCTGGATGATCTTCACTATTAATGGTGAAGCTGGGCCTATAAGGCATCTCTCAGCATCACCCGCTAGGTTTTAGCTCTGGCTCTGTTCACCAGGACAATGGTCTCCTGGTTGTAAGTAAAAGTATATTTTCAATTTGGGTTATGCTAGTGTTAATGAGAGAGAATGTAAATCACTTTGTCCCTAATTGAAGAACAAATCATTTCTTCTTACTTTTATTACGTAAGAATTGAGAGTTTTGCCAACAGATACCTTAATTACTGTCTTCTTTCCTGCTTGCTTTCACAGACCAGTGACCTTTTTTATTTCCTAGTAAACAAACTTCATGAGTACTTGCCAGAGTCTAGTGATAAGAATGCACATCAAAATAAAAGCCAAAGTGTTGGTGAGCTGGTGTAAGTACTAACTGGATAATCATAGATACTTTTTCCCTAGGATGTTCAAGATAAATGGAAGGCACTGGGCAAAATATATACTGTATTAATGATTAATAGGGCAGCAAGTTTTGCTTCACATAGATTTTTTAAAAACAGCATTTGTTTTGTTCTAATTGTATAGTTAAAGAAAAACTACACAAGAAACTAGTAATACTGGCTGTCCCAAAAGGGAAAAAAATGAGTGTATGAATAAAAGACACCTTTCACTGTATTCCCTTTTTTACCTTTGAAATTTTGAGCCAGAAATTACTACTTGAAACAGTTTAAATTATTAAATGTAGTTTAAAAATAGTGTGATTATCATTAAAACTTTGCAAAAAATAAGTGCAAAAATCAATATGTAAATGACTTTTAATCCTGACATGCACCTATTAATTCATTCATTCAACAAATATTTTTGAGTGCTTACTATGTAGCAGTCACAGAGTAGACACTCAACCAATGTTGGCAATTTAATATACAGAATTTCCTTCCTATACTTTTTTCTACATGGCTATCTGAATGCAGTTCTATTGAGCATTACTGATTTTGTGGAATTCTTAACTTACAATGAAATCATGCCATTTCCGTGATTTTTTTTCTCTTTGTTTTCTAGGGCATGCATTGAAATTATACAGACTCTGGGACTGATGTTCAGAGAAACAGAAACTGAGGCATCACCCCTGAACACAATGGCAGCTAAGAAGTAAGGCCTTTTAAAAATTGAGACCTTGTAGTTGCAACCCATTAACTATTCTACTGAGTGTCTTCCAGAACTCAACTCTCTTGACTTCTCTGTTCAATCCCCTTGTAAATATATTAAACTCTTTTGTCTCACTTCCTTCTTTGATGAATAGATTAATTAACATACTGAGTTCTCTCTGATTACTGGGGGCACAAACATTTTGTTAGCATAAGTTTATCTTTTGTCATTGCCTGAAAAAGACCAAGTGAACCATCATACGTTAAAAACGAGGGGGTCTCTATTAGAATTTTCTAGAGTACACTTTTATCCACATTGCAAAGGCAGGAACTATAGTAGCTCCCTTTAGTATATAATTGTGTGACCTTGGAGTGAATGACATTGGAGGGAAAGCTGTTGTAAGATACTCCAAGATATGTGGCCCAAAGAAGATAAAAATTTACATCATTCTTACATAACAGTCCCGAGTTAATAGCCATGCTTTTCCTCTAATGAGATCAGCCAGAGACTTAGGTTCCCTCCTTTTTGTTGCTCTGCTATCTTCTATCATGCTATCTTTGTCCTCATGGTTAGCTGGCTAAATTGCTTGCTTTCATAACTCCCTGTGGGAATCGGGAAGAGAAGTAAAGGGCAAGCAACTTTCCTTTTTAAGCAAGGCATATAAGACTTTTGCTTACCTTCTGTTGGTGAGAACTTTAGGCACATGGTGTTTCTAGGTGCAGAAGAGGCTGCAAAATGCGTCTGTAGTTGGACAGCTGTGTGCCTAGCTAAACTATAGATGGCAATGGGACATCTGTAATTTAAAGGAAGAATGGAAGAACGTATAGTGAGGGACAACAGCATTCTTTGCCACAGAAAGTATGTGTTCGCATGTCTTCCATATTATCTGCTTGACCTTTTTATGAGATTTATAGGCTATGAATTACACACTTGGGCAATGGTCTGACTAAAATCTTAATTTTTTTCTACCCATATCAATTGTTTATCTACATTTCTTGTACTAGAAGGTGGAAGAAGGATGAGAGCCATGGACTCTGAAACATTTAAACCAGAGGGAAGAATAAGAACTTTTAGTAATATTTGTCCAGGCTATTTATTAGAGACCTTTACAAATAAATTTTAATGATAAAACTCATTAACATACCTTAAGCAACTTGCTATGTGCCAGGGACTATGGGCATACTGTGCATTATAGCAGGGATGGTCAAACATTTCTGCAAAAGGCCATATAGTATGGGCTTCCCTGGTGGCTCAATGGTTAAGAATCCACCTGCCAATGCAGTGGACACGGGTTCAAGCCCCAGTCCGGGAAGATCCCACATACCACAGAGCAACTGAGCCTGTGCGCCACAACTACTGAGCCTGTGCTCTAGAGCCCGTGAGCCACAACTACTGAAGCCTGTGCACCTGGAGCCCATGCTCCGCAACAAGAGAAGCCACCGCAATGAGAAGCCCACGCACCGGAACAAACGGTAGCCCCCGGAGGGCCCCCACAAGCTTCTGGGATCCACAGGGAGCAGGTGTCTCAGTGATAACTATACTCTTGACTAAATCCTGAATTTGTCTTGTTCGTCAAACGATTAACATCAAAAGCAGCTCCAAGAGATTGGCTCAAGATGGCGGAGTAGAAGGACATGCCCTCATTCCCTCTTTCAAGAGCACCGGAATCACAACTAACTGCTGAACAATCATTGACAAGAAGACACGGGAACTCACCAAAAAAGATACCCCACATCCAAAGACAAAGGAGAAGCCACAATGAGATAGTAGGAGGGGCACAATCACAATAAAATCAAATCCCATAACTGCTGGGTGGGTGACTCACAAACTGGAGAACACTTATACCATACAATGGAGTGAAGGTTGTGAGCCCCACGTCGGGCACCCAAACACGGAGGTCCGGCAACGGGAGGAGGAATTTGTAGAGAATCAGATTTTGAAGGCTAGTGGGATTTGATTGCAGGACTTCGACAGGACTGTGGGAAACAGAGACTCCACTCTTGGAGGGCACACACAAAGTAGTGTGCACATAGGGACCCAGGGGAAGGAGCAGTGACCCTGTAGGAGACTGAACCAGACCTACCCATTAGTGTTGGAGGGTCTCCTGCAGAGGCGGGGGTGGCTGTGTCTCACCGTGAGGACAAGGACACTGGCAGCAGAAGTTCTGGGAAGTGCTCCTTGGTGTGAGCCCTCCCAGAGTCCACAATGAGCCCCACCAAAAAGCTGGGTAGGCTCCAGTGTTGGGTTGCCTCAGGCCAAACAACCAGCAGGGAGGGAACCTAGCCCCACCCATGAGCAGACAAGCAGATTAAAGTTTTCTGACCTCTGTCCATCAGAGCAACACCCAGCTCTACCCACCACCAGTCCCTCCCATCAGGAAGCTTGCACAAGCCTCTTAGATAGCCTCATCCACCAGAGGGCAGACAGCAGAAGCAAGAAGAACTACAATTCTGCAGCCTGTTGAAGGACAACCACATTCACAGAAAGATAGACAAAATGAAAAGGCAAAGGACTTTGTACCAGATGAAGCAACAAGATAAAACCCCAGAAAAACAAAATGAAGTGGAGATAGGCAACCTTCCAGAAAAAGATTTCAGAATAATGATAGTGAAGATGATCTAGGACCTCGGAAAAAGAATGAAGGCAAAGATTGAGAAGATGCAAGAAATGTTTAACAAACACCCAGAAGAATTAAAGAACAAACACCTAGAAGAATTAAAGAACAAACAAACAGAGATGAACAATACAATAACTGAAATGAAAAATACACTAGAAGGAATCAATAGCAGAATAACTGAGGCAGAAGAACGGATAAGTGACCTGGAGGACAGAATGGTGGAATTCACTGCCACGGAACAAAATAAAGAAAAAAGAATGAAAAGAAATGAAGACAGCCCAGGAGACCTCTGGGACAACATTAAACACAACAATATTCACATTATACGGGTTCCAGAAGGAGAAGAGAGAAAAGACCTGAGAAAATATTTGAAGAGATTATAGCCAAAAACTTCCCTAACATGGGAAAGGAAATAGCCATCCAAGTCCCAGAAGTGCAGAGAGTCCCAGGCAGGATAAACCCAAGGAGAAACACGCCAAGACACATAGTAATCAAATTGGCAAAAATTAAAGACAAAGAAAAATTATTGAAAGCAGCAAGGGAAAAATGACAAATAACATACAAGGAACTCCCATAAGGTTAACAGCTGATTTCTCAGCAGAAACTCTGCAAGCCAGAAGGGAGTGGCACAATATATTTAAAGTGATGAAAGGGAAGAAGCTACAACAAATATTACTCTACCCAGCAAGGATCTCATTCAGATTCAACAGAGAAATCAAAAACTTTAAGACAAGCAAAAGCTAAGAGAATTCAGCACCACCAAACCAACTCTACAACAAATGCTAAACGAACCTCTCTAACTGGGAAACACAAGAGAAGAAAAGGACCTACAAAAACAAACCCATAACAATTAAGAAAACGGTAATAGGAACATACATATCGATAATTACCTTAAACGTGAATGGATTAAATGCTCCAACCAAGACACAGGCTCGCTGAATGGATACAAGAACAAGACCCATATACATGCTGTCTACAAGAGACCCACTTCAGACCTAGGGACACATACAGACTGAAAGTGAGGGGATGGAAAAAGATATTCAATGCAAATGGAAATCAAAAGAAAGCTGGAGTAGCAATACTCATATCGGATAAAATAGACTTTAAAATAAAGAATGTTACAAGAGGCAAGGAAGGACACTACATAACGATCAAGGGATCAAACCAAGAGGAAGATATAACAATTATAAATATATATGCACGCAACATAGGAGCACCTCAATACATAAGGCAACTGCTAACAGCTATAAAAGAGGAAATTGACAATAACACAATAATAGTGGGGGACTTTAACACCTCATTTACACCAATGGACAGATCATCCAAACATAAAATTAATAAGGAAACACAAGCTTTAAATGACATAATAGACCAGATACATTTAATTGATATTTATAGGACATTCCATCCAAAAACAGCAGATTACACTTTCTTCTCAGGTGCGCATGGAACATTCTCCAGGATAGATCATATCTTGGGTCACAAATCAAGCCTCGGTAAATTTAAGAAAATTGAAATCATATGAAGCATCTTTTCCAACCACAATGCTATGAGATTAGAAATCAATTACAGGGAAAAAAACGTAAAAAAAACATGGAGGCTAAACAATACGTTATAAATAACCAAGAGATCACTGAGGAAATCAAAAAATACGTAGAGACAAATTATAACAAAAACACGACGATCCAAAACCTATGGGATGCAGCAAAAGCAGTTCTAAAAGGGAAGTTTATAGCAATACAAGCCTAACTCAAGAAGCAAGAAAAATCTCAAATAAACAATCTAACCTTACACCTAAAGGAACTAGAGAAAGAAGAATAAACAAAACTCAAAGTTAGTAGAAGGAAAGAAATCATAAAGATCAGAGCAGAAATAAATGAAATAGAAACAAAGAAAACAATAGCAAAGATCAATAAAACTAAAAGCTGGTTCTTTGAGAAGATAAACAAAATTGATAAACCTTTAGCCAGACTCATCAAGAAAAAGAGGGAGAGGACTCAAATCAATAAAGTTAGAGATGAAAAAGGAGAAGTTACAACGGACACCACAGAAATACAAAGCATCCTAAGAGAACACTACAAGCAACTCTATGCCAATAAAATGGACAACCTGGAAGAAATGGACAAATTCTTAGAAAGGTATAATCTTCCAAGACTGAACCAGGAAGAAATAGAAAATATGAACAGACCAATCACAAGTAATGATATTGAAACTGTGATTAAAAATCTTCACACAACAAAAGTCCAGGACCAGATGGCTTCACAGGTGAATTCTATCAAACATTTAGAAAAGAGCTAACACCTATCCTTCTCAAACTCTTCCAAAATATAGCAGAGGGAGGAACACCCCAAACTCATTCTATGAGGCCACCATCACCCTGATACCA